TATAAGTTGATTTAATACTTGTTATATTATAAAATTTCCAGGAATATTTGTTATATTATAAAAGTTCCACTAATATTTTTTTAATATTTATAAGTTGATTTAATACTTGTTATATTATAAAATTTCCAGGAATATTTGTTATATTATAAAAGTTCCAGGAATATTTGTTATATTATAAAACTTCTTGGAATATCTGTTACAGTATAAAAGTTCTTGGAATTTTTGTTACTGTATAAAAGTTCCAGGAATATTTGTTATAATAGTATAAAAGTACCATGCATGCATTCCAATAACTGTTATCAAGATTATTAGATAAATGTTTCAGGTTTATTTATTATATAATCAAAGTTCTAAGAATATAAACTACAATATCCAAACGTATTTCATGAAACAAATGTATAGAAGAAAACTTCCAATAATAAAGTACAGGCATTGTTATCTTCAACTTGAGGCTAATTACATGCTTGACTGATGTATAAGTCAAACTTTCTCCTTGTTACATACACACGGACCATTTAGTTATGTGAATTGGAGCATATAATGATAAAATATTAAAATCATATATTTTTACCATGTTTATAATAAGAGCCATCATTCAAATAGGTGAAAAGTTTATTGAATTCTTCAGCCTCCATTCTTTTTTATACCCTTCATGTACAGGTAAATGTCAAACACAGGTGAGGTGAGCAGTAATTAAACTGCAACCAGGTGAAAAAAATCACATGACACTCTTTCTTTTATAAAGGAACAAATATTATGGAACCATATGATGTTTCAGTTCCAGGAACAAATCTTATAACGGTGGAAATAATATTATGCAATTTTTGTTCCCAAAAACTTTTATTATCCATAGTTTTGTTCCAGGGGGAACAAGTATTATGCGGAACAAATATATGTTCACATAACTGCCCTTGATTTTTTATTTTTTACTAGATAACATTTTGTTCGCTATGGAGATTCCGTATATCGTCAAGTTATCGGAATTCCAATGGGGACTAACTGTGCACCACTTATTGCTGACCTGTATCTGTATTGTTACGAGTTACAATTTATGACTAAAATCAGCAAAGACCCATCGAAACAACATCTGATACAAAAATTTAATAACACTTTTAGATATTTGGATGATATATTGGCTCTCAATAATGACGACTTCAGCGTGTACACTAAAGAGATTTATCCTGCTGAACTGACTTTAAATAAAGCTAATACTAACAATGAACACTGCCCTTTCCTGGATCTTGATATCTATATCTTTAACGGGAAGCTTATTACCAAAATTTATGATAAAAGAGATGATTTTTCATTTCCTATTGTTAATTATCCATTTTTAGATGGTGACGTTCCCTTGTCACCATCTTATGGTGTTTATATATCTCAACTTGTTCGATTCGCTCGTGTATGTAACAACGTATTTGATTTTAACGAAAGAAATCTCTGTATTACTGAAAAATTATTACACCAATGTTTTCGATGTCTTAAAGTAGTCAAAACATTTTACTAAATTTTACCATCAGTACAAGGACATCATTCGTAAATATAAATCAACATGCAGACATCTTATACGTTTAGGTATTTCACATCCAATCTTTTATGGTAATATTCTTTACAAAGCACAAAAATGTCGGCATTCACCTCAAAAGATAACCAAACCTTTAAACAGACTTATTCAGAAGGGATATAGTTACGATACTGTTGTCAGGTCATTAAAGATGGCATATTTTGGTATTAATATTGATTCACTCATAGGGTCTTACTTAAGTTAGCATCGGAAATAAACAGATTTATTCTAAAACCAGTTGTTGGCATGATACGGGTTACGTTCTTCTCATATATTTTATGATGGTATGATACTAAACCCCTAACGGGAGGGATTGTGCTTGATTTTCATATGATGATGAAGACATAATCTTTCAATCAGTTTAATTGAGGTCTGGAGCTGGCATGTCAGTAACTGCTATTAGTCCTTTGTTTATTTATGTATCATTGTCATTTTGCTTAGTTTCTTTTGTTACCTATTCTGACATCGGACTCGGACTTCTTTAAAACTGAGTTTTACTGTACGTATTGTTGTGTGTTTGTTTTATCTAAATTGGCTAGAGGTATAGGGGGAGAGTTGAGATCTCAAAAAACATGTTTAACCCCGCCGCAATTTTGCGCCTGTCCCAAGTCAGGATCCTCTGGCCTTTGTTAGTCTTGTACGTTTTTTTAATTTCAGTTCATTTATATGTTTAGGAGTTTAGTATAACGTCCATTTTCACGGAACTAGTACACATTTTTGGTTAGGGGCCAGCTGAAGTCCGCCTCCGGGTGTGGAATTTTCTTGCTGTGTTGAAGACCCATTGATGGCCTTCGGCTGTGTTTTTTACTCTTTGGTCGGGTTGTTGTCTCTTTGACACATTCCCCATTTCCATTCTCTATTTTATCATTAATAGATTTTGCCTTGATGATATATTTTCGCTATTTAAACTTCTATCTATCTATTATGGTTTTAAAGATACAAATGTAATAGGTAAAAATGTAACAAAAAATTTGTTCCGGCGTGACATTTGTTCCGCCGGAACAAATTTCATAGGAAATATGTTCCACCGGAATTTATATCACAGAAAATATGTTCCAGCACTGTAAAATTTGTTCCGGAACTAATTTTTTGGCCAAATGTGAAATAAGTTCCAGAACAAAAATCTTATCTCCATGAATTTTGTTTCAATTAATATTAAAAAGTTTTAAATAAGTTCCTGTGACATTAGTTTTAAACGAACATGTAAATATTTCATAGAAACTAATGAATAAGTTCCACTCAATCATTATTGCACACCGAAACATTTTCTTGTTTCACTTAAATTATAATGCAAGCTAAATGCTGTACTGAGTGTACTTGCATGGGATACATTTGCAATTGAAGGCATGACTGTAACTATATGATGAAGATAAGAAATAAAATCGATTGTAATGTATCATAATTTGCATTTATGTTTTATGCGGTATTCCTCCTTGGTTCCTGTTAACTGCCATGGCCCCGTGTTCTAGTCATACATGTACTTAGGACATGGCACAGTTTCAAAAGAGTGTGTCTTTTTTTTTTCTACATGTCTTTTGATATTTATAAATGATCAAGTCACTTTGTTCTTTTCAAATTAGTACATATGTTCCTCTTAAACTATACTTTTTTTCTGAATGATTTTTCTTATTCTAATCTTTTCTGGTTCAAAAGTGTCATTTAGATATTTGTTACAGAGTATATAACATGTATAATTAAACATTTGCTATACTCCATAGGATCCAAACTCGATGATTTACACTTTTTATCTATTATATTATTAATATAATACTTATTTTTATAATGCACTTGAATGATAACTTTAAACTCACTGATGACAAATGCTCAGTATATAAGATAACTTGTTTAACAAGTGGAACATATTTCACAGACAAGGAACTTATTTCACCAGGTGAGGAACAAATCTCACAAACTCAGAACTTATTTCACCAGGTAAGGAACAAATCTCATAAACCCAGAACTTATTTCACTAGGTAAGGAACAAATTTCACCAACCCGGTACTTATTTCACCAGGTAAAGTGTGGAACTTATTTTATAGAGATGGAACAAATTATATAGAAATTACCTGTGAAAAACGTTCTCCCAGAACATATTTCCTGTGATAAAAGTTCCACTGGAACAAATTTTGGCTCACATAAACACACACAAAAAAGGAAAAAATAATTTGGCCAGGTGAGCTAAAAAACCAGCAACTTGTTGGTGTTGGTTTCAGAGCATCTTTTCTTTGAAACAGAGTAGTACTTTACAAAGTATGATTTGTCTCTTCCTAAAACAAGATACTTGTACAGAGTAGTACTTTACAAAGTATGATTTGTCTCTTCCTAAAACAAGATACTTGTACAGAGTAGTACTTTACAAAGTATGATTAGTCTCTTCCTAAAACAAGATACTTGTACAGAGTAGTACTTTACAAAGTATGATTTGTCTCTTCCTAAAACAAGATACTTGTACATGTATGGATCTATTTTGACCACCTTTTTCATGAGTTGAGATTGCAATCTGTATTTAAGTTAAAAACATGGACTATTTGTGTTGAATGGAGGAAGTCAAATGTTGTTTATAAGGAGACATATAATTTATGAATTACAAAAACCCTCAGAAGTAGCATAAAACAGACATACATTTGTTAAGGATTTCCTCTCATGTTAGAATTGTTGGATTATATTGTCTAATTCCTTAAATTTACATGGTTTGCAATTGTTTATAAAAAAGACTCTACATATTGCCAGATTAACTAATGCAGTATCAGGAAATTCTTCATAAAAATAGAATATCAAATTGGAGTTCTAATTAATGTAAAACTAAATGTCTCATTTACAGTTTTGCTAACATACTAGTTTTTGAGGGTATGATTCCTTTACAGAAGCTCCCAACCTCATAGTGAAACTTGAATTTGACCTGTATTTAATGGTTGAACAATATATAAATCAAAGCATGGAATGCCTATATTATTATCTGAAACCTTTTGATTCAGATGGAATGCCTATATTATTATCTGAAACCATTTGGTTTAGATGGAATGCCTATATTATTATCTGAAACCATTTGGTTCAGATGGAATGCCTATATTATTATCTGAAACCATTTGGTTCAGATGGAATGCCTATATATATAGCTATATTATCTGAAACCATTTGGTTCAGATGGAATGCCTATAATATTATCTGAAACCATTTGGTTCAGATGGAATGCCTATAATATTATCTGAAACCATTTGGTTCAGATGGAATGACAGACATATGGACAATGCAGCAACTTTCTTTTCAATTTATACACAACATTTATAGACTTAACATAGTGTGTAGACACCTATCTATTGTTGATTACTGCTTGTTGCTTTCTACATTGTTCTTAATGTCTTTTGTTTATTTTTATTGTTAAGCTGCTGTTTCATTGAAATATATCTCCTTTTATTCAAAATATATGCTCCTCTGAAAATAAAATGACAAGAATCTTTTATTATTATTCATGTACCAAATCAATCAATTTCCTCTTTTCAATGACTTCAGTCAACCTCCCCTGCATTCATCTCTTTTTCAAATATTTTTACAAATGTTTGATATTCAGCTACTGTCATTTTGCCATGTTTCTTGGCAAATATACCTTCACTTGTGTCCAGAATTTCCTTAAGTGATGGATTTTTGCCGATTTCACCTGTATCCTTGGTGACTTTTTTGTACAGTCCTGCTCTAGATAAGAACTGATGCCTGCACTTGATATACTCGAGAGAGTGAGAAAACAAATTGCTACGCATCATTTGTCCTGGTGATGCTCCCATTTCATGAGAAACATAGTCATATTTCAAATGGATCACATTAATGTCTTCTGAAAGAACCAAAGGCGACTTTACAATTAACTGCAGAACTGACTTTGACAAAAACAATTTTTTAAGTTCATCAACACGTTGAAGTACATCTTTCTGTTGAAGTAGTAAGATCATTGGACTGGATACAACTAGAGCCATAAGAACATCATCACTGAACCCAATCCTTCGAAATATTTCTAAATTCTTACAAAATGTTTCAAAATTCATGTCTAAAATTTCTGGACACTTACTGAGTATGAGAACCAGTTGTTTAGGAGAAAATCCATACTCTCTAAACTGTTTTGTTAGTGTACACATGTCTTCCGAAAGGAGAATCTTTGGTGATGTTAACATCAACTGTTCAATATCCTTTATTTCAAACTTTAAATTAATCAGATGCTGGATACAGTCTTTTACTCTATCTTTTCCTAATGAAACAATCATTATATCGCAACTTTTGTAATAATCATAAGTTTTGTCGATTGTTTCTTCAATCTGTATTTCATAGTTTGTAGTCACTCTTTCCTTTGCGTTAGTAAGAGCTGCTTCAGAGACACAATGCCTCATATGGAAAGACTGACAGCTGTTATAATGAAAGACCAAACATTTTATACTGCCTGTAGTACAATAATGTATTGATCTAGAAGACATGGTCATATAATTGGCCCCATATCTGAATAACAGTAATGCTCTATTTTTCATAACAGCATGAACAAACTTACAATGGAACATAGTTTTTAAATTATTGTAACTATAAAATCTCAATAATCTAGTTCATTCTCTTTTACAATCCAGAATTAATGTTTCTTCCTCAGTAGCGAAGTCATCTTCTACACCTCAAAGATGTTATCAAATTATCTGAAAATATTAGTTAAAAGTACTTTTAAATTATACATGTATAATCATATTTTACATCTGATAGATGTGTTTTTGTGGTCATTGTAAATAAACACTAAAACATAAAATAAAACTAGAATTATAGGTAGAACTCCACAGTTAGGTGTGTAGTTTTAGCATTTTGGCCCCTGTGGATATTTCAAATATGAAAGCTAGTGTGCAATAAAATTTATTTTTGGATCTGAGGATTAATATAGCTGTCATAGTGGGTTTATATGAATATCAAGATTGTGTAATAAAATTGAGAATGGAAATGGGGAATGTGTCAAAGAGACAACAACCCGACCATAGAGCAGACAACAGCCGAAGGCCACCAATGGGTCTTCAATGCAGTGAGAAACTCCCACACCCGTAGGCGTCCTTCAGCTGGCCCCTAAACATATATGTATACTTGTTCAGTGATAATGGACGTCATACTAAACTCCAAATTATACACAAGAAACTAAAATTAAAAATGATACAAGACTAATAAAGGCCAGAGGCTCCTGACTTGGGACAGGCGCAAAAATGTGGCGGGGTTAAACATGTTTTTTGAGATCTCAACCCTCCCCCTATACTTCTAGCCAATGTAGAAAAACAAACGTACAACAGTAATGTATGTTTTATAGGCTGTTTTCTGTATGACAGTCTGTATTTTCATATCCATGCCAGAAATTGGTCCAGAAATTATTGCGATGTTTTTTCCAACTTTTTGTCGTACGAACTTTGAGATTCAATTTTACTAAAAAATGAGGCGAAAGACACCCAATTTGTACTTAATCATTTGGTAGATTAATGTCAATAGTTTCAGAAAAGATATCACTCAAAGGAATAGAAATTCTAGTTTGAACCAAATTTTGGGGGAACTTGTGCCATTTTCATGCCCCTTTTTGCAATTTTTTATGGTAAATAAATGCAGAATGTTGCCATGGATACACAACTAGAGGCTCTAAAGAGCCTGTGTCGCTCACCTTGGTCTATGTGCATATTAAACAAAGGACACAGATTGATTCATGACAAAATTGTGTTTTGGTGATGGTGATGTGTTTGTAGATCTTACTTTACTGAACATTCTTGCTCCTTACTATTATCTCTATCTATAATGAACTTGGCCCAGTAGTTACAGTGGAAAATATTTTGTAAAAATTTACAAAAATTTACAAAATTTATGAAAATTGTAAAAAAATTGACTATAAAGGGCAATAACTCCTTAAGGGGTCAATTGACAATTTTGGTCATGTTGACTTATTTGTAGATCTTACTTTGCTGTACATTATTGCTGTTTACAGCTTATCTCTATCTATAATAATATTCAAGATAATAACCAATAGCTGCAAAATTTCCTAAAAATTACCAATTCAGGGACAGCAACCCAACAACAGGTTGTCAGATTCATCTGAAAATTTCAGGGCAGATGTATCTTGACCTGATTAACAATTTTATCCCAGGTCAGATTTGCTCTAAATGCTTTGGTTTCAGAGATATAAGCCAAAATCTACATTTTACCCCTATGTTCTATTTTTAGCCATGGCAGCCATCTTGGTTTGTTGGCCGGTTCACCGGACACATTTTTTAAACAAGATACCCCAATGATGATAGTGGCCAAGTAAGGTCAAATTTGGCCCAGTAGTTTCAGAGGAGAAGATTTTTGTAAAAGTTTACAGACGACGGACGCAGGACGACGGACGCCAAGTGATGAGAAAAGCTCACTTGGCCCTTTGGGCCAGGTGAGCTAAAAACGGAAATATATTTCACTATTTTAACTTTTGAAAATCAACTTTATGTAGATACTGATGACATACATATGCACATGTATGACACAAACATTAGGCTAAATGTATTAGAAAGCCAGGAATAGAATATGATTAAACATTTTGTGGTCCTATTTTAATTTTATTTTCTAACTGTGGAGTGCTACCATAAATGACTACATTAAAGATAACATGAAAAAAAACTGGATAGTGCAGAGGCCTTAATAGAAGACATGCATGGATATTTGTCATTCATCAAATTCATAGAAAAACTTGTATGGTACATGGGTTTCAATATATTTCTGTGACTTCATAACTACAGTTGTGAAATAACCTGAACATGTAACTGAATATTCTGTAAGGATATATAATATTGGCAATATAAAAATAAGAAGATGGGGTATGATTGCCAATGAATGAGACAACTCTCCATTAGAGACCTAAGCTTTGATTACAAAATATGTAACACTATGACCCTGAAGGGCATCTACAGCCTAAAGATATTTGAGAGTATCTAGAAGATCTTTTATATATTAGAAATTTTTTTAGTCAAGATAGCATAAACATGATGAATTAAATTTTTCTATGAAACATATTATGATACATCATTGTACATAGGCCGTTAGTTTCTTTTGTTTGAATTGTTTTACATTTATAATTTCTGGGCCTTTTATAGCTAACTATATGGTATGGGTTTTACTCATTGTTGAAGGCTGTACAGTGACCTATAGTTGTAAACTTCTATGTCTTTTAGTCTCTGGTGGAGAGTTGTCTTATTGGCAATCATACCACATCTTCTTATTTTTATATGACACATATTTGCATTTTTGATAGTGGGAAATAGTTAGCACATACAAACTGTCACTTTGTACAAGAACAACAAAAACAAGCATTCTGTGAGTATTGCTTGGCAATACATAGTCCCCTACCGGTCAATGACCGGTAAAAAAATCATTGTACTGGAACAAAATGCTAACTTGATCTATAACTTGTCATGGTGTGAACTATATAACAAATATCAAGTCAATATCTTCAAGTATGACGAAAAAAATGTGGAAAATTGATTATTTGAGTGAATTTTCTAAGTCCAAGGACCATAACTCTGCACAAAATCATTAGACCGGAACAAAATTCAAACTTGATCTGTAACTTGTCATGATAAAACTATATACCAATCATCAAATCAATATCTTCAAGCATGACAAAAAAAGTGCGGAAAACTGATTATTTGAGTAAATTTTCTAAGTTCAAAGGACCATAACTCTGCACAAAATCGTCAGACCGGAACAAAATTCACCAAATGAAAAATTCAAAATATCTTCAAGCATGACGAATAGTGCGGAAAACTGATTTGCCCAACTGACAGACAGACGGAGTGCAAACCTTTAGTCCCCTTCAAGTTGGTAGGGGACTAATAATTACATCCAAATACGTTAATTTGATGCATGCATCTGCTAAAATGCAACATGAGGGATATACATAAAATTCTAATTGATTGCAAATGAAATATTTTGCCTGAAACTTTTAAATTGGTTGAATGTGAGGCAAAAGCAGCTTAAAATGTCTTTTTTTCTGAAAGAAGGATTAGAATGACACAATAAATTGTGTGTGTATCTCCTATCAAAGCCTAGTCCTTAAGCTAGAGATTTCATTTTAGCACAAGATGACAATTAAAGACACAAACATTCCCTCCCAAGGACATATTTTTTATTTTAAACACAAACATATATTTTTGTACTTACAGTCAGGGGTACTTCTTGTACAAGTAATTTTTATTTACTTAAAGAAGTAATATTAATATACTTATATAAATAAATTTGTAGGATACTTATACAAGTGTATTTTATTTACTTGTAAAGGTAAAAAAAAAATTGGCTTAGTTATGTCACTTAGACATTATGATTTTTTTACTTATATAAGTGAAAAAGTCATCCTATCTTCTTTTCTTGAATTCTTATGACTTCTTTGCCCTAATAGAATTTTAAATTGTCTGTCCTTTGAAGATGTCTTAACTAATCATTTAAGTGTAATTTTATGGACAATGAAAATCTCATTTGTCTGTTATCTTCAGAACACTGCTCATTTACAAGACCCCAAGGAGAAATTTTTGAAGGCCTTGCACAAATACTTAAGATCTTTGCACAATCAGTTTCTTTGTTGAATTAATGAGATGAAACATTGAACTCTAATAAAAAATTTTGAGCTAACCTGGGAAAAATCATTAAAGGCATGTTTTTACATCTCAAAACTTGAGAATTTTTGTGGGATTGTTAAAAAAATTTACTTATACAAGTGAATTTTTGAGAAAATTAAGGGGAGATTATTCAAACATTATAATTAACTTATATAAGTATATTTTTTTTACTTCTTCAAGTAAATAAAGATTACTTGTACAAGAAGTACCCCTGACTGACTTAAGACACAAACATGTTAACTAGACAGTCAGTTATTATTGTCTTGATAGATAGAAAAATAGCACTTTAATCTTTATGCATAGGTGCTTGAGGACAGAATCATGTGTTGAGCCCCCATAGTTCCTCCCCTTCATTGCCGTAAATCCCAGATTTTCCAATATATATATATATATCAGTAATTTGTACTATAAAAATGTATATGAATACCAATATGCCATATTTTTACTCTGAAACTCGTGAAACTTCAAAATCGAAAGGAACGCTAGCTATGTTTGAGAAATTTACCCTTTTCAGTTATTAAAATCATTTCAATTTTAAATTGTTGCATTCCATAAACTGTTCTTGAACGTTTTAAGAAAAATGGTAAGAAAATGCATTTAGTAAATGCAATGAACATGATGAAACAGTCAAAACCAAAATTGTGTGAAAAAATTTCCAAATCCTTGGTTTACTATCAATGTGCCACTCGACTATAAGAGCGTTCTTTGTTTTATTTATTTTAATTATAAAACATAATCAAAGAGCTGAAAGCTCTGAGGAAAAATGACGCCACTGTCTCTAATATTGTGATATTTTTTATGCAAGTCTTGATTTTCTCATACCGTAATAAGTTTAACATTGCAACATGTCTCGTAAGCATATAATTGATATTCGTAAATGTGTCTGTTTTTTCAGTACAAATGAATAGGTCAAGACTACCTGAATGATCTACAGTATCCAATTACTACTGGCTGTTTTTTTGTATAAATAAATAGGTCAAGACTACCGGAATGATCTACAATATCCAATGACTACTGGCTGTTTTTTTGTACTAATAAACATGATAAAAAGGTCAAGACTATTTGAATGATCTACAATATCCAATGACTACTGGCTGTTCTTTTGTACATATAAATAAAGACTACCTGAATGATCTAAAGTATTCTAAGTAAAGTGATTTTTTTCTTGCAATTACATTTTTCTAAATCAAAAATATAGACTACTAGTATCCTTTTCAAACAAAATGATTATGAAGAGCCTGTTGTTAGCAAACTCTTATACCCCACATAGTGATGATACTCATTAAACAAGTTACTAGTGACCTAGTTATTTCTGTTACTTGAAGCAAATTATATTTCTGTATATTTAGACAATAGTATAATATTGTTTTACTAGTTTTATTTCACCTTGAAAATTAGACAAATAGGGATACTCCTTCGATTTTTTATTTCATGTCAGTCAGGTCGCTTTATATGAAACTTGAAACCACTTCTCTGTCATATTGTTATTTTATAACAACTCTGCCCTTGACCATGTTGACCCATGTAATTGATATTCATTCTTTAACCATATATCATAGTCAGTTAGTTTTTGATTTTGCACTCCCACACCACCTTTCATGTCTTTCAGGTCAAATGTCTGTCTCCATTTAAGTTAATGACATTGAAAAATCATGGTATTAAACACAATTTCAATAGTGATAATGCTGTTCTCGTGGGTCACCATATATTCAACTTGGGTAGCATTCCAGTTATTGAAATTTGTGTCAGATTAGAACAATTATCTAGATCTTTAGGAATGGATCTTATAATTTAATATGGAGCCATAGTATGGGACCCCTACACGGTAACAAAAAAAAAACAAGCTTGAAAGGATACAATGTCAAGCGGCAAAATCTATCACCAGAGATTACAAGTCAAAAGAGGATGGACGGGATACGTCTCTAAAATGCTTGCTGAACTGGAACTACAGCAAGATCTGCAGACAAGACGAACAAAGCGTTGAAGCCAGAAGTTAATATTTATGTAAAAAGTAGTTGAGGGGCTGATTCCCGCTATTGAACCATACTGTCATTCTATAATATCATTGCGTAAGTATTTCTGTATTGGCCTTGTTATTGGTCCATGTCTTGGGTGTATTGGTCTGAGGCGAAGCGGAAGGCCAATACTGCTGGCCGAGGACCAATAATAAGGCCAATACAGAAATACACGTAATAATATCTTTATTAATTAACTACAGTGTTACAATATTTTTTTTATTTCATTTCACAAGAGATAAACATTTTTACCTTGAAGTGGAACTATCCAAATCTCAGTTTCCTTTTATAAGATGCAATATCTAATGATTCGGTGCCGTTTGACTGCTGGCCGAGAACCAATAATAAGGCCAATACAGAAATACACATAATAATATCTTTATTAATTAACTACAGTGTTACAATATTTTTTTAATTTCATTTCACAAGAGATCAACATTTTTACCTTGAAGTGGAACTATCCAAATCTCAGTTTCTTTTTATAAGATGCAATATCTAATGATTCAGTGCCGTTTGAAGTATCTTCAGCCTTTTCTCATCTGATGAATTTTTCTACCCTTTCCAGTCACTGTAAAGTGTTACAACTTTAATTTAGACACAACACATAAATAGTAATTTGAAAGGTACTGCCATTGCATGTGTAATGCAAATATATTTTTAAAAAAAATAATGTAAGAGTTGAAATTGATACAACTATCCATAAGCCAATTGACCAAAGAACGAAGATTTGCACAATTACAGAATGTATATGCCTGGTTCTGGTTTAAAAATAAACGACCGTTTAAATACAAAACATGAGAAGCGACAGTAAACAGAAAAATCGATTTGTACCATCGACATGATGAAATTATGAGGTCGTCAAGAAATGAACTTTGTGATAATTTACTCGTTCCCCAAACCTGAAATAATCCCATCGTCTACTTTCAAAATGCTTTTTAAATGAATGGGACCGTCTTTAACCTAAAATATATGCCATACTGAACGTTTCAGCTTGTTTATGGTGAGTAAACCTGCGTCTTACAAACAACTGTTTACTTTCAGTTTGAGTTTATCGTGACTTACGATCTAAAAACTAGAGACGTTCCGAAATCCTGTTTTGTAAACAAAGATTCATACGCACCGCGTGGGTATAACCATATTACTAATTTCCGATTTTTAAAATCTTCGTAAATCTGGATAAAGACCAGTTTCTATCCAATATCAAAATTATTCCGATTTTCACTTTTTTTAATGATTGTAAAGTTGAAATGGCATGAAAGGCTGACATTATTTAGGAGAACTATTTTGTCTAGCGACTGCTGATCATCAGTCAGGGGACTTATTGAAATAAGTGATTTTTAAATCACTTATTTAAGTAGCAAATTCGAAGTTTTGTCACAAATTGTGATTTTGTAGTTTTACCAAAATTTTAAACACATAGGTTTAGATAATATCTTTTCATTAGTAAAATTGAAAAAAATGAACTTTTTGCTTCTTTTAAGCAGCAAGGTTTATGCCTTTGATGCAATCATTTAGCTGCAAATTCTATTTTAGTTGAAAAAATGCTATAAAAATGGCTTTACATAATGAATTGATACTTTCTTAACAGATTTTTCCCAGCAGTGGGAGTATTTTTCCTGTAAAATTCAAGGTTTCATCTTATAGATTATGTAATAAAATTCTACTGTTCGCGATCAAAATTTCACTGTTCGGGGGTGTTGAAATTAGTGGGGGTTATTAAAATAATGATACTTAAAGAAGTGATTTTTTGGAAGGAAATTGAGGTATGATACTTAAACAAGTGATTTTTATGTCATTATCCTAGATTTAGTACAAGGTCATCACCTGACATGACCTGGTCATCCTATCAACACAGGTGTTGGTTCTGATAATTTTAGCAACAAAATTAGTCTTTGGATCATTAGTATTCTATATTTAAAGCTACAATAAAATTAAATCACTTAGACTAGTGATTAATTTGTACTACTTAAATAGGTGATTATTAAAGAAAGACAACTCTTACTTCCAACCTTTATGGACATAATGTTACTTGAATCAGTGATTTAGAAAATCACTCATTTAAGTAAGTCCCCTGACTGATCATTGGAGGGTAAAAAGTCCAACACCATAACAAAACGGATCTATTTGAGTATTTATCATGCGATTTGTTTACGATTGTAAGACATGTGCATAAAAGTGAAAGCTCGAATAAATATGAAAAATATAACAAAGGGATAGCTCCAAATACCATTTCATAACAAAAAACATATGGACAGGTCAAGATATCTTTTTGGTAAATAAAATAAAGTATGTAAACTGGTTCCCGTCCGACAACACTTTGTTCCAGTGTAGCGTAATACAAGCAGATTCCAGTTAGTATGTAAAATAGTAAATATGAAACCGAGTGCGGTAGGCGGAGGCAATAATCGACTTCCGTAAGTTCTGGTCAATGGTATCGGAAACATGCCGCTGATAGCGTCATTTTCCAAAAACCACCTGGTAATGTTGCTGTAGTGGCCAAGTGCCGATTTGACTTGCACCCTCCTCAAGCACCTAATGACTTCATGTTATTGCTGAGCAATTATTTATGAACCATTCAAACAATGCTCTTAAAATTTTAATATGCTGTTACTGATGAAAAAATGGTGGTCATGTTTGATATTGATTTTCATTTTTGTGGTTCAGGAGATATGGTCCTTGATCATTTTGATAGATACTAGAAAATTAGGCATTAGAATGTGGCAGGTCAAAAAACCATGAGAGCTAGGAAAGAGTTCCATATCATGCATATGGTACCCCCCACGGAATAAACTGTGATACATTGTGTTCTTTTAGTATGGTGGGGGTGCCATATTGAACTCTTAACCAGAGACATATAATACAATTATCATATGTCTCTGTATATACACACAAACAACAGAAACAAAAAGAGGTGGCTGTGTGCTTTGACTTTGCTTTTGAATCCGTCCCTAATTAATTTACCTGTTTTCACAAAATTACTTTCTGACGATGTCGTTGGTTGGTGATTAATCAGCACAAACAAGCTATATCGCACGAACTTGATCCCAGAGCCTTATAAAAACATCATTAAATGAGTTGAAGTTTATCGAGGTCGAGTGAATCCAGACGGGTCCATATGTTGACAGGGGAAAGGAACGAAAGAAAAACCCCAATGTGTGAATTTATGTATGTACTTAGATTCCTCCGTTATTTGGAGCACCCTTGAAAGCTGCAGTGGAATCCGTGTACACTCCCTATCAGGACTAATGGAGATGTGCTACTAACTTATGTACATCCAACCACCAAGGACAATCACCAACCCAATACCTAGGGAGTATTAAGACAGGGAAGAATATGATTTGTTGTAGATGTAAATTCCTCCTTTGGTGGGAAATAAATATATTATGTATGTGTAACAAGCTCATAAAATGTTTGAAATCTGATTAAGAAGTCAAATAGAGATGTTTATTTAAGTTCACTAGCATCTTTACTTGGCTGTACATGTCCAGTCGCAAATATGTCATGCATGTTCAGGTGGGTCTAAGCGAGTCGCAGGAGTGGATGATTTTTTGTAAGTGTGACACTTGAAAGTCAAATTATTGTGAGTGAAAACGGAAAACGAAGTCGGACGGGACACGTGAAATTACAAGCATTATTATTACAATGATAAGCGGGATACAGGAATCTGACAAAACAATTTAAGCGAGATCCGGGATCAGACCCAAAATGAGACCCCTGTTCACGACTAGAACGTATTAACAATAAATACAATTATAGCGTCGGATAGGTTCTGTAATAGAGGGGATCTGGGGAAAGTAATCATGACAACGAATAATAATGAATCCACAGTAAATAGAATTAAAGAATCAACTTGTTAAACAGTTTTGTTTAAGATCTCCATCCATTATACGATCACCTACCAATAGTACTGTTTTTCTGTCCAGTGCTCTTACAACTAATAACTTAAAGGTACCAAATACAAATATAAAATTCTGTGACAAAGTTTTCTTAAAATAGCGTAGTGTTAAAATTTCTTTGACAGTCAATTTTTCCCTTATCACTTATGATTTTCCACTCTCACATTTTTTTGTATTATTGCACTATCTCATAGTCTTTGTAAAAATTCTCCTGTTCAATAAAATTGTCTGTTGATAAACAAAGAAGTGCTAGTAGTCAAAAGCTGTAATTATTCAAATTACCTCTTTAGTAATAAAAATGAATGGGTACATATCTGGAACCCTGTAATTTCCCTGTGATTATTGCTGTTAGTATAAATGTTCAATGATGACTGAAAAGTCTATTTATCATTAAAATAAAGGGGAAAAAATGGAACTTTTACATCCGATACATTTGTTGATCATGAATTAGTCAAAATGTGTGTTTCCCATGTATATTATATATTTTTTTATTAGTTGGAAAAAGCTTTGAACTAGCTTTCAGTAACTGCAAGTACTCTCAGACCCGTACCTTGTGCCTTTTTGTTTTTTTATTAATTTGTTTGTGCTTTGTATCAATCTGATGAGTTAAGCCCTTTTCAAATGATTTTTATAGTTTGTTCTTATGTTGTACTGTTACACCACTGTTTCAGGTTAGGGGGAGGGTTTGACTAGCAAACATGTTTAACCTCGCCGCTGCATGCTGTATGTGCCTGTCACAAGTCAGGAGCCTGTAGTTTTTTGGTTGCTGTTTGTTGCTGTATATCATATTTGCTTTTTTCGTTTATTGCTTTGTACATAAATCAGGGGCCTTCAGGCCATTAGTTTTTTCAACAGAATTATTTTGCATTTGTCAATCTGAGCCTTTTATAGCTTCCTATGTGGTATGGATTTGCACATATTTGAAAGATGTCGGTGACCTGAAATTGTTAACTTCTACGTCATTTGGTCTGTAGTGAAGAGTTGTCTCATTGGCAATCATACCACATCTTCCCATCTTTCATGCATTTAAAAAGTCCAGACAAAAGTTTCAACATTTTAATTTATCTCCCTTCATTACAGTATATTTGTTACTTTGGTATAAAATCTTTCTAAGGAAAGAAAATGTAAAAACATACAATACATATTATAAACAAAAAATAAATAAATAATTTTTTAAATGAGATATATTCAATGCATAAGGTAGACAAGAGTGGACACACTGAAATGTCTCGCCTGTTTTAGTGTTCACAATTGAATTTATGTTGAAAGTAAAAAAAATAAGTTTATATAAGCTTTACATTAAATTAACATTTTAATGATGAATGAACATGAAGTCAAGGTGAGATAAACCCTATCAGACAAATATGTAGGCCGTACAATCATTCCATACAATATATTTTTTACTTATCTCAATACTTATCTTATTTCATATGTATCAAAAATCAGTAAATGTGATTCTGTTGTGCAAACAAAATTTCAAAAGTTCTTCAATCTGTACATATTCAGCCAATTAATCTTTATGAAGGGACTGGAGTGAACTGTATTCTATGTTAAACATTCATGCATGAGTGACCTTATTTTAACATTTTCACACCTTCCAATGTTTTTGTTAATCACGGTCTAGTAATGATCCCTTAAAAGTTTTTATTATTTATTATCATTATTAATGTTATTTAAAGATTTTTATAAAATAATCTATTTCAATGTAAGCAATCAGCAGTTAAATAATAAAATACATTCCATACACCAAATATAGTTGACCAATTACTTATAGCATCTGAGAAGAAGACCAAACAACAGAAACTTAACATTGACCAATGAACCATGAAAATAAGCTCAAGGTCAGATGAAACCTGTCAGACAGACGTGCACACCTTACAATCATTCCATACACCACATATAGTTGACCTATAACTTATAGTATCTGAGAAGAGGACCAAACAAGAGCAACTTAACATTGATAAATGAACCATGAAAATGAGGTCAAGGACAAATGACACCTGCCAGACAGACATGTACACCTTACAATCATTCAATACACCAAATATAGTTGACCTATTGCTTATAGTATTAGAAAAACAGACCAAAACACAAAAACTTAACATTGACCAATGAACCATGAAAATGAGGTCAAGGACAAATGACACCTGCCAGTCAGACATGTACACCTTACAATCATTCAATACACCATATATAGTCGACCTATTGCTTATAGTATTAGAAAAACAGACCAAAACACAAAAACTTAACATTGACCAATGAACCATGAAAATAGGTCAAGGACAAATGACACCTGCCAGACAGACATGTACACCTTACAATCATTCCATACACCAAATATAGTTGACCAATGGCTTATAGTATAAGAAAAACAGACCAAAACACAAAAACTTAACATTGACCAATGAACCGTGAAAATGAGGTCAAGGTCAGATGAAACCTGACAGACTGACATGTATCCCTTATAATCATTCCATACACCACATATAGCTGACCTACTGCTTGTAGTATCTGAGAAACGGACCTAATCACGTAACTTTAACCTTGATCACTGATCCATGAAATGAGGCTGAGGTCAAGTGAACCCTGTCTGATGGACATGTAGACGTTGCAAGGAACCCATATACCAAATATAGTTATCCTATTACTCATAATAAGTGAGAAATTTACATAACAAAAAAACTAAACTTTTTTTTCAAGCAGTCGCTGAACCATGAAAATAAGGTCAAGGACATTGGACATATGACAGATGGAAAGTTCGTAACATAAGGTATCTGCATACAAAGTATGAAGCATCCAGGTCTTCTACCTTCTGAAATATAAAGCTTTATACAAATAGTTTACGCCGCCGCCGCCGGATAGTAATACCTATGTCTCACTTTCTGCGACTTTCGTTGCAGGCGATACAAAAACTACTATAACATGTATAAAGCAAATAAAATACCATGCAGCCCTTGATATGTGTTTAAATTGAATTTTGCTAAAAAAAAAATATTATTTCAATCCTGTGTCAAAAAGAAATACATATCTTTCAGATTTGGTCAATAGGACATGGAGTTGTTTCATACATCTAAGTTTTATTTAAAGCTTCCCAGAGATTTTTTTTTCGAATTTGAGGTATAAAGAGGATCCAGGGCTGTAAGATTTTACCCTTTTAGAAAATTATCAATTCCTGTCCCAAAACATTGCTGCTTAAATGGACAAAGTTAATCCCAAATATATCTGTTTAAACAATATCAAACATTTTAAGATTTTTGACAAAGTAGTTGCAATTTACAGACTGAATGACACAGGAAGTCCAGGAAAAAGTGAGGACTGGTGCAACAAAAATGAAAAGAAAACACTTTCCCCAAATGTGTTATCTAAAGTATTTTTTACTTTGTTAATAGATTATAACAACCTGAATTTGTCAATTTTTAACAGAAAAAACACAATGATGATCCTGGACAAATTTTGATAAGTAAAAATATACTCTTTTGGCTTAATTTCAGATTGGATAATTCTTTATTACAATTGAAAATTTTGTACATTTTTATTGTTAAAACTTAAACTACTCTATTTTTCAATGTAACTGTAACCATAACAAGTACAGTACTGGTGACAGTGTTGTCCATCCACACTATCACAAACAAGGGCTTACAATTAAGTTTTGATCCCATCAGGATCTTTTAAAGAATATTTGAATACAAGCTATTTTTCACCTAGTCAATTTGAATATTTTATGAAAAAATACCTTCATGTGCTTCTTTTAGAGATATATGGGGTGGAAATTTTAGACATTTACTCAATATTTTGTTTTTGACATTTCTATCCTTTGGACACACATTCCTAACTTATTTGTTTCAAATGATAAACTCAAGCAGATTTTTGTAAAAACATTTGGAATATCTTCTTCAATTTAAAATATGCTCTAAACTAGTGTAACAATTTTTTGGAAATAATTAATTTTTATTAAAATTTTCATGGTTTAAAAAAAAAGATTTATTTTCTGTTTATCTAAAATTTAAAAAAAATTCATTGGTGATTTCTTTATAAAAATTGGTACAAATAATCTTCCTTTCTAATTTAGCCAAATGTAATTTTTAAAAGAGGGATCCATGTTCTTGTTTTCAAGCTAATGATTAAAATCAGTTGACAAACACACTTTCCCATTTATGTCACATTTAAACATTACAAAAAATAACATTTTATGTTAGCGATGCTCTGTAATTGAATCTTATGCCCTTAACAGCTAAACAAAAGCCCTATTTTTACTATCAAATACATTTTATTGTCTTGTATTTTTTTTTTTACAATCTATACTGCATGTATACATTTTCAAGATAAATATACAATCAAATGGACAAAATTTGTTCAAACAATATAATCAAACCCAAATATTAAGTCAAGTGAACTACTTAATTCAATAATAACAAATAATATTACACCACCGGTTTAAAAAATGATGGCAATATAAACATTTAGTTAAACATCCACCCTTTAGGAAAATTCTTCCAAGATGATTGCAAAAAGTATGATTTTTGAATAATTTGTTTTACCATGAACCAGTATATTGTTAAAGATGGTATTTTGAAAATGACTTGGGATAAAGCACATGCCATGTTTCCCAAGGCTTGGCTTTATCCTACTTTTGAAAAATTAAAAAAATGTTTATGTAGCATAATATTGTGTTTCATTTTTAAGGGAGATCACTCCATTTGTAAGATATCAATTTATATTACAATTTATTTTATAAATATATACTTAAAACAGATCTGTCATACATAAGATGTAGGTACCATTTTAACACTGATATTGCTGGAATGGATTGTTTTATATATGTATAAGATATGTAATGAGGTAAAATAAAAATGTATTAACATACATATACTCAGCAGATTTTTCAAAATATATGAAAATTGCCATTGGATTACACTTTATGGTCCTTCAATATTTGATTAACATAATAACTTGGTATGTCTTGAATATGATAACTTAATGCAAAAAAAGTTCATTTCATATCTAAAAAAATATAGATTTATTTCCTCTATATTTTCCATGATTTCTAATCAACTAAAAAATGGCACAACATTTATGAATTTTAAAATCATAATATTTTTCTATATGTAAAATGTTTATTTGAGATTCATGAATGTAATAAAACACTTTGATCTAAGATTAGAGTGCATAAAATAAACTTTGGTATCTAAATTGTCAAAGATGATTGGTTGATTATGGCTCAATATCAAATCTACTACATTTTCACTATAAACATATATTATCATGTCATTTCTGTTTGCAACATTTACAAAATGAAGCCACCAATATTTTCTCGGTTTTCAGCTTTCCTTTATCACAGTTTTATCTTCACTGTCAACAGTTCTAGCATATGACTTCTCATGTTATCACAGATTTTTTCTATTTTTATCTTTCTCATGGAGTGGAAACATGCATCATATCTGGTAGGACTATCTTACGGTATCTTTTCTCTAAACTCTGCATATACTTTATATTATCAGCAACGTGAAAACCATGAATTGCTGTTTCCTGTTGATAAAATAAATATTAGTGAAAATCAGCTGTTTCAGAAATAGATCTAGACAAAACAATTGACACCATGTCCTGTTTGCACTATCACATTTCAATGTTCAATGAACTGCAAAATCTGGATCAAAACCCTTATTTGGCACAAAAACTCAGATCCTAATGAACAGGTGTACTAAGTTTCAAATTAATCTGACTACAACTTCATGGCAAACTTCTTTAAACATTAATTTTAACTTGATATGGATTACAGACTTAATGCAGAGGCTGGAAGCATAGTGTCCCCTACTAATGTAGGTGAGATATAAAACTGCATCAAGCTGAAGAAATAATTTTTAGTTCATGGATGTGTTTTATTGTTGTGTTTGTATTTTGAAATACCCATTGAATGAAGAAATATTGTTGTAATTATTTACTTGTTTATATTAAAATTGTAGATATTTCCTATGATAACAAATATGAATCCTCTTCCTGTCTTTTCCTTGATCCAGACTAGTACAGACTATTTTCAAATTAAGATCTGAGAGAGAGATTGATTGTATTTGCCTTACATCCAGTGGTAACTGGGAGAAAGAAGGCTGATCAAACCATCAATGGGTCTTATAAATTACTTAATAGTTTAGCATACATTTACCTTCAAAAATATTATTAGATCCTGTGTTTGCAGGTGTTCCATAATTTCTTTCTGTAGATGTCTTAGGATGGCAATACACAAATACACTTGGTAATCCACACCCATGATTATACTAATACATATGTAATGACATATGTCTAACCAATCCAGGTAGTTCCAGAAACATTGCTTCAACCAATGCATACAAATCTAAAAGTACATGTGTAAATACAGCTTTAGTAGAATTATAATGAGAATAAAGATGGTTATATCACACTTGACTGAAAGTTTTGTATCTCATCAAGAATATGAATTTCTTATAAACTGCTCTTTTTAAATTGCCCTTGCGTTTGATTTGGAACAAATTTAGAAACCCTCCAATCAGCAGCAAATTTCAGTTCAATATGGCCACATCATTAATCTGACAGATAATTATTGGTGTTACAACTATGTGAGAAAAAGATTACCCTTTGGAAGCATCTGCAAAGTCTATTGTGTCTTTTGGCTGGGTAACCAATTAGTTCTTAATTAATATGTGTGCAAGTTTTTTTTATTGAAAGGTTTCTTATATTCACAAATATCATGACGTGTGCCAGTTTAGATTTTTTTAATGGTACACCTGTCCCAAAGGGCCTTGGTGGGCTTTTGCCATAATTTTTTTTTATGCCCCACCTACGATAGTAATAGAGGTACTATGTTTTCTGGTCTGTGCATCCGTTCGTTCGTCCGTCCGTTTGTCCGTCCGTCCGTCTGTCCCGCTTCAGGTTAAAGTTTTTGGTCAAGGTAGTTTTTGATGAAGTTGAAGTCCAATCAACTTGAAACTTAGTATACATGTTTCCTATGATACGATCTTTCTAATTCTAATGCCAAATTAGAGTTTTGACCCCAATTTCACAGTCCACTGAACATAGAAAATGATAGTCCGAGTGGGGCATCCGTGTACTATGGACACATTTAGTTATCTAATAGAAATTGTGTGTCAATGACAGATCTTTGTTAGTTTCTGTTTATTTTACTCGCAACTTTTTTTAAACTAGGGAAATTTTTTTTAGTTTGACATATTGTAAAGACGCCTGTCAATCTTTGAAGAATTCTCCTCTTGATAAAACACGTACACTGGCAAGAAGAGAATTCTTCAAAGATTGACAGGCGTCTATACAATATGTCAAACTAAAAAAAATTCCCTAGTTTAAAAAAAGTTGTGAGTAAAATAAACAGAAACTAACAAAGATCTGTCATCGACACACAATTTCTATTAAATAACTAAACAAGAATGTGTCCATAGTACACGGATGCCCCACTCGCACTATCATTTTCTATGTTCAGTGGACTGTGAAAGTGGGGTCAAAACTCTAATTTGGCATTAAAATTAGAAAGATCGTATCATAGGGAACGTGTGTACAAAGTTTCAAGTTGATTGGACATCAACTTCATCAAAAACTACCTTGACCAAAAACTTTAACCTGAAGCGGGACGGACGGACGGACAAACGGAAGCACAGACCAGAAAACATAATGCCCCTATTACTATCGTAGGTGGGGCATAAAAAAAATTATTGCAAAAGCTCACCAAGGCCCTTTGGGACAGGTGTACCATTTAAAAAATCCACCTTAAACGCCTGAGGTAATATGCTGATCTTTCCCAAGCAATTGATGAACCTCAAGATTCTGATGGGGTTCATGTTGTTTAACTTTTAGTTTTGTATGTAGTGTTTTGTGGACTTTTTTGTTCTGTTTAGGGGGGGGGGGTTACTTTGTTTTGTTTTTTTGCCATGCTGTTGACTGTATTTCTTCTACTTAAAAGTTTTTGATTGTGCACTTTGTATCTTCTCAATTTTTCACACATGTCAAGGATGAAAAGGGAATGAAATAATTGTCTCACCTGAGCTGCAGTATAACCAGACATTTTAAAAGCTGAAGCTACCAATGGAAGTTCTATTTGAAGTAAAAGTTCTATATTGTGTCCAGTACTAGAAAACAATGGTGCAATACCACTGATCATTACAGCTGAGGGAAGGTGAACCTGAAATAGTAGTAACAAAAATAGGTTTTAAAATTCCTTTCAGATTTTATCAAAATTGTACAATTTAAACTTGATCTTTTGATTCTTCCTTAATGTTTTATTTTTCAGAAAAAAATCATATAACACAAATTGGGGCCTGGGTTACTAAGCCAAGTGGTCTCGGTAGTTCAGTAGTTCATCTACAGCAATCACTAGCCTGTTAACACTGAGGTTGTGAGTTTAAACCCTGCACTTGGCAGGTACGTTCAACTCTGATCTTAATTGACTAGGATTGCCAGTTTTCCTGTTGAAGGTTGGTGGTTCTCTCCAGGCACTAAGGCTTACTCCACCAATAAAAAAGGCCATCACATAATAGCTCAATTGTGCTCAAAAGTGGCGTTAAATACCAACAATCAATCATCAATCATAAAACACTAATTAAGTGTCCAAAAAATCATTTTCTTAAAAATTCATGCAAAGCAAAATATATTTACAATAAACATGAGGTGTGTAAAGTATGTTTTTTTATCTGTTTACATGTAGAACCAGATATCAATCTGCTTTTTTCCATGGATGTTACACCCATCCCTCAAGTCAAAATATTAATTATCTACACGGTAAACACATCCATACTTACAGAACAATGAAGCCTATGTGGCCATAGATATCCAGATGATCCTAAGCAGGAAAACTTGTGTAAGAAATGCCAAGACTTTTCTACGTTTCCATTAAATATTAGGAAAACAGTTGCTGCAAACCAGTCAAATCCTGGGTATCTGTTACTAATAAATTCTGAACAACTGTTAAGGATTATAGATCAGACATACTATACTGGGTAAACTAAGAAAAAGACCAATCAGAATGTGCCCAATTGGCAGCAGGTGTATTGACTAGCATTGAACCTCTTCAGTTCAGTCATCTATGTACCATACAAATCATTTTCCCCCTACCCGTTGTAGATTTTTTTTTTAATTGCACAGTTTTAATAAAGGAAACAGTTGTGAGCACAATTTTATAATTTACTGTGCATATGCAGGAACCTTATGGCCTTTCATTTTGTTAATTTATAAAATATTTTTTAAATGTGCAGTTTGAATAGCATTTTTGTGTTGTTAGAAGCATATACAAGTATAATAAAGTATGGCTTTGATCTGGTAACTTTTTTCATAAAGGACATTCTGAATGGAAGTCAACAAAATAGTAATAAAGAACCTTTTGTGAGCACGCTCACATACCCCACGCCTCCACATTGTCACTGAGCAAACTAAATATCACCAGATTCCTAAGTTCAAAGACTCATAACTCCTTCAAAAGTCAACTGATAAAAATTTCTTGTGGATATGCACATTTATATATTATATCCTTATTATCTACAAAGTTTTATGGAATTCTGTAGTGTGGTTTCAGAGAAGTTGTGAAGTTGTTAGTTGCAGTAATATATATATATGCCAAAAATTTTATGTTCAAAGGACATAACTTCTAGAAAAAAAAATTGAATCATAATTTCCTGTCGGTATGCACATCTACATAGAATGTTCTAATTATCTTCAAAGTTTCATGAAATTCTGTTGTGTGGATTCAGAGGAGATGCAATGACAAACTTTTGCAGTAGTATATTCCGGCCACAATTCTATGTTCAAAGAGGCATTACTTCTAGAAAAAAATTGAATCATCATTTCTTGTCGATATGCACATCTACATAGTATGTCCTTATTATCTACAAAGTTTCATGAAATTCTGTAGTGTGGTTTCAGAGGAGTTGCGATGACAAACTGTTGCAGTAGTATATTTAGGCTGAAATTCTAAGTTCAAAGGTGCATAACTCCTAGAAAAAAATGGAATCTTCATTTCCTGTCGATATGCACGTCTACATAGTATGTCCTCGTTACCTACAAAGTTTCATGAAATTCTGTTGTGTAGCTTCAGAGGAGTTGCAATGACAAGAACAGGGCTGACGGATGAACTAATGGACGGATGGACGGACAGACGGGTCAAAAATATTATACCCCATGGAACAAAGGGTATACCAACACTTGTAGGGCAATATGTTGTCTTCAGCAAGAGACAAGTGTCTGTACCAAATGTGAAGCTCTACATTAACATAATCCAGGTTAAATATGAATAAATCCAAGAGACTGCTAAAGATCTACCATTAACATCTAATTCTAAAACAATAAATGGGGACTGTGTCCATGGGACACAGATGATGCCCCCGCTTGCATATAACGCTATAAAGGAACATAACTCAAGAACTGTAAAAGTGATGCTACCCAAATTTGTACTTGATCTGAGTTTTGTGGTAATAAGCATTGTTTATAAGTTTCATAACATTTAGTTGAGGCAAACTTAAGTTAGAGAACAGAAACGAAAAATTCAGCAATTTTTCCATTTGTAAAGGAGCATAACTCTAGAACAGTTAAAGTGACGCCACCAAAATTCAAACTTGATCTGTGTTTTGTGGTAATAAGCATTGTGTATAAGTTTCATAACCTTTGGTTGAGGCAAACTAAAGTTAGAGAACTGAACCCAAATTTGGGACGTACGTACAGATGGACAAGGGTAAAACTTAATGCCCCCTCCGCTACGGCGGGGGCATAACAACAACAAATAAAATGCTCAGCTGGGTGCAGCTTGATACGACCGCAGAGATCGAACCCTGAACAGTTGGGGCAAGTATGGACACAACATTCAAGCTTAATACAGCACTGAATTTGGATTGTGATTAAATATTTGGCACAGCAAAGGTTTCTGACACAGAATGAATGTGGTCCAAGAAATTAAAAATTTTTAAAACACCTATTCAAACCATATCGTTATTATTTGCTTTTATATATAAATCAGAAATAACCAATTTAAAATGGAAAATTTTAAAGAAAAAAAAAGGAAAAATAGGAAACCCCCCCCCCCATTTTTTTAACCCCTTTATGATTCATCACCCTTAAACTCAATCCCAGCCTTCCATTTGTGGTATAGTACCTTGCAGTTCTATTTCAGAGAGATCCATACACTTGAACACAAGTTATTGTCTGGAAACTAGAAAAATGCTTGATTTTTGGCCCCAAATTCCTTAACGTTTAGGGCAATTACCCCCAAACACAAACCCAGCTTTCCCTTTGTGATATGGAACCTTGTAGAACAATTTCAGAAAGATCCATACACTTACACACAAGTCATTGTCCTGAAACTAGAAAAAATGCTTGTTTTTAACCCCTTTTTTGCCCCTAATTCCTAAAATTTTGAGGCAATTACCCCCAAAATCGATCCAAGCCTTTCCTTTGTGGTATGGTACCTTGCAGTACAATTTCAGAGAGATCCATATACTTGAACACAAGTTATTGTCTGGAAACTAGAAAAATGCTTGTTTTTTTGGCCCCAAATTCCTAAACGTTTTGGGCAATTACCCCCAAACTCAAACCCAGCTTTCCCTTTGTGATATGGTACCTTGCAGTACAATTTCAGAGAGATCCATACACTTGAACACAAGTTATTGTCTGGAAACTAGAAAAATGCTTATTTTTGGCCCCTTATTCCTAAACTTTTTGGGCAATTACCCCCAAACTCAATTACAGCTTTTCCTTTGTGATATAGAACCTTTAGTACAATTTCAGAAATATCCATACACTTACACACAAGTTATTGTCATGAAACTAGAAAAATGCTTTTTTTTTGCCCCTTTTTTTGCCCCTTAAATTCCTAAAATTTTGAGGCAATTACCCCCAAAATCAATCCCAGCATTCCCTTTGTGATATGGAACCTTGTGGTACAATGTCAGAGAGATCCATGCACTAACACACAAGTTATGTCTGGAAGTTACAAACATGCTTATTTTTGTCCCCTTTTTGGCCCCTAATTCCTTAACTGTTGGTATCATAACCCCCAAAATCAATCCCAACATTCCTTATGTTGTATTGAACCTTATGGTAAAATTTCATTGAGATCCATTCACTTAAACTGAAGTTAGAGTGCGAAAACCAATGTGTCTTCGGATGACGATGACGACGATGATGCCAACGTCATACCAATATACGACATTTTTTTGCGGTCGTATAAAAATTGGGGCATAAGGAATATAACAGATCTTGCAGTAGCACAGTAACTTGTCTAGTAATTATACAAGACTTTATTTTCATTCTAATAAGGATACTGATTTTAGCATGCCCCCCTCTCTGTTCTGGTCTCTGCTGTTGCTGCAGATAGAAAGCACACTGTTTCAATAGTAACGTCAGTTTCTCTGTCACATCAGATGATGTGTGGATCACTTTAAGATGGATTCCATATCTACAATGTTCAAAATTTTGAAGACACTCCAAAGATCATTACTATACATAAATATTACTCTTTTAATGAAATCATTTATAATACGATTTGAAATACTTTCAAAACAGTTCCTATAATATACTTATATACTAATTCTAAGAGAAAAACTTATATACTAAACTTCAAAATATACTAAGAAAGATGCTGTCAATATAGTTGTTCATTCTCTTTAGTAAATCATGGTCAACAAAAAATTAAATGTACTTTTTTTACCTCTGTAATTATTTGAAAGATAATGAGCAAAATAAATGTTTAACAATTTGACCGTTATCATTTGTTTATATTATTATATTACTTATGTAGATAACAAATTCATATATGATATTATATATTATTTGTTTTTTTAACTTAGGTATCAAATGAGTTGAACAAATTTGAACAACATATATCTGGAATTAAAACAGAAATCTTTGCTTAAAAATTGTGTCTCCATTCATGGTATCAAGATAGAGTTCATGCAACTTTTCTTTTAAATTAAGCAGCTATGTATACAAATGACGTGGATTTCAAAAGTTCAAACCAACATTTCAATTATCAAATATAATTACCTGATTGCAATCTTAATGCCCAGTTGTTGTAATGGAGTTAACTGGAATGATTTCAAGGAATTTTCAGACCCTGAAATATAATAATTTATTTGTATACTCCTAAAATTTCGCATGGTCTTTCCCATTAGAAATACCTTTCTTACTTTAATCATGCAATGAGTAATTTCTTCTGGTTTTACTGATTTAGTTCCTTGTTTGTTTTTTTTAAATGTATATTCAGAAACTTTGGTGATGTTTTTCTTCTTCAATAATAGGAGATAAGAAAAAGTTAACATGTGTATCCGATTAATCAGAACTTATGGTTTTATTGCATTTATGTTAGTTGATCAATATTAGCATTGATAAATGCACACAACAATTTCAGAATTTACACTTTTGTTTCATTGGAACAATTTTCATATATATAGTTTCATTTGTAATGATTTCCTATTTCAAATTTTATCCAACCAAATTAATAAACAACTGCGCCACGAGCGCATGTTACGCCCATCGTCTTGTGAGTGAGGTTTTATGCAATAATCATAAATTGTTTCTGAGATACGGCACGACATGTGAAAACCCCCCTTTTTTTATAAAAAAATCAATAACTCTAAAATAAAATTTTGAATCATCACCAAAAAGGATACAGATCTTTAGATTAATATAATTAAGAAGTGTGTAAAGTTTTAAGCAATAATCATAAATCATTTTTGAGATACGGCGCGACATGTGAAACACCTCCCCCTCCTTTTTTTTCACAAAAAACTAAATAACTCTAAAATAAAATTTTGAATCATCACCAAAAAGTATACAGATCTTTAGATTAATATAACTAAGAAGTGTGTAAAGTTTTAAGCAATAATCATAAATCTTTTTTTTGAGATACGGCGCGACATGTGAAAAAAACACCCCCTGTTTTAGTTACAAAGTCCCGTAACTCAAAAAGTTTTAATCATATTTTCACCAAAAAGAATACAGATCATTTGACCATCATAAAAACAACTATCTTAAGTTTCATGAAATTTAAATAAGTCGTTCTCAAGTTACAGTGCAACATGTGGACGCCGGACAGACGGACGCCGGACATTTGTATATCATAATACACCCTGTCAAAATTTTGACGGGCGTGTAAAACCTAAGATTGCTAAAAGTATAAATTTCTAAGGCCACATAACCACTATTATTCAAGATTATTACAATTTAAAAACTATGAAGGTTTTTTTCTGATCAATAAATTATGTTTTAAAACATTTTTTTAATGGCAATTAAAGTTCATAAGTATGAAGGAAAATATACAGCAGATACTGCAATGTTGTTCAAATTTCAGTATCATGCTGGCTATTAAACTTGGCTAAGTGGTAAACAAAAATCATTTTTGCCTATTAGCAAATTCATATAAGATAAAACTTTGAAACCTCAATACCAAATTTCAAAGTCTGCATTCCCAAGAAAAATACAATTTTTTTCTGAAATATTACTTTTGAACGCTGATATGTTTTGTATTATATCTATAGATTCAATATGATGATAAAATCCATATTTCATTCAATAAAATGAGTAGAAAAATGTTACTTATAAATTTTAAGATGTAATCATTTTTTATTAAGACATTTTCCAAATATATATGTTTAATTCTTTCAATGATGGGCAGTCTAACAGACATTTGTTCACAACAGTAATATAGATAAAAGCTTCTTCATTATTCAAATTCACCCACCTAAATCTACTCTATGTTCTACAAACTATCAAATCTGAGACATGTTGCTGGCCTTTCAACAACGACAAAAATCAACAATTTGAGAGGCTGTATCAAGCATTTCTAAAATTCAACTTCAGATAGTGTTATTAGTTTAATTTCAATGAAGAACTGGATCAGCTCTTATAATCTCCCTTAGAACTAAAGGTCAGATGTTAATGCAGTATCCAAATATATTAAAAAGAATATCATAAGTACTTCATAATCCTTCAAAAACTAGACAAAAGAAAAGAAACAATGAAAACAAATCAGCTACTGAAGCAAGGCTAAGGAGGAAGAAGGCTGGGGCTCATTATGCTCCGTTGAATAGAGATGCAGGGATGTGAATGCTAATGAAACAGAATGCCAAATATCAAATGGTTTTCTTCTTCATTAATTGCATCTAATAAGCAAATTTTATATGTTACAAATAAAAAGTCATTGAATAATGACTTAAGGGTGGAGTTTACCGTATTTTATTAATTGATGTCTACTATTATTCCTGTTTTTTAATGATTCCCACTCATCAGAAAACTTATAACACATGATCAACATGAAAAAGCCAGTCATTGATAGAAGCTATATTTCTAATGCAGCAGCATACTGTGGATTTGTTTATTTTTGTGGGTTCCAATTTCCATGAATTGAGGAAATATTGTGAATTCATGGAGATTTGGTTTGTGGATTTGCCAAAGTCTGCATACTAACCTATAGAAAATTGATACTTATGTCTCATCTCCCAAAAATCAAAACATTTGTTACAGTTTAGAATAAGGAGATGTGGTATGAGTGCTAATAAGACAACTATCCACCAGAGACCAAATGAAGTTGATGTATACTATAGGGGGCTGTACAGCCTTCAAAAATGATTAAAACCATATGGTATAGTCAACTATAAAAGGCCCAGAAATAACAAAATGTGACATATATTTAAACAAGGAAACAAACAGCCAGTATTTATGCACAGATCATCACACTTTTGTCAAAACTATGTTTATAATCCTTTACAAATGTTATAAATTAATGATTTAACCTTTTTTTTATGCATTGTATTTGCATTTTGTTGCTTTTGTTTCATCAATTTATTACATGTGTAAAGGGTTTATAAAAGTTTGATATCAATACATGGTGTAAGTGACAAGATTCTATATCAATACAAGTATTTAAGTAAAAAAACATTATCTGTTTAAAACTACTAAACCTCCAACTTTTCTGAACATGGAAATATAAAGCACCAAAACCTGACAAAAATATATGTCTATATTGAAACTTTTACTTGCAGCATCTCTCTACATGCTATGAATATTTTCAAAACTGAAAGCAAACATAAGATCTAAAGTTCTAAACATTGAATTATTTTCTTTGGTCTTATATTTTTAATCTTGAATGCTTTCATAAATTATCAAGAATACCAAAACCATCAAAATATTTCTACAGAAATTTCTAACTTTACTTAAATGCCCTGAATATGTAAAATCTTTATTCTTCTTTGCTGAAATACAAATAATATTAGGCTAAAGCAACTTCAATGCATCAGATTTGAACATATAATGTAGCTTTATTGATGCTTTAGGCTAATATATTTTGAAATCTTAAACCTGAAATTATTGATACATATAAAAGAAATAAACCTGCTACTGTTTCCAAATGAATTTCATAGTTTTTGCTGTATTTTTCTTTTGGATAATGTCTGAATTATCATGACAGCACTAAAGTTTTAGTCTGGTTTTACCATAAAGCACTAACAGTCCATCAGCAAAGCTATCAACTCATTTGTAATGGATGGAAACAATGATTATACATCAGATGTGCAATTCAGTCATTGACAACGAAACTAATCATCATCTTTATTCAACAACATTATTTTATTTCAGAATTAAAGAACCTTTGTGAGCACGTTCACATACCCCACGCCCCAACATTGTCACTGGGCAAACAAAATCTCACCAGATTCCTAAGTCCAAAGATTTAGAACTCCTACAAAAGTCAACTGATAAAAATTTCTTGTGGATATGCACATCTACATATTATGTCCTCATTATCTACAAAGTTTCATGAAGTTCTGTTGTGTGGTGACAGAGGAGTTGTGATGACAAACTCTTGCAGTAGTATATTTAAGCAAAAATTCTAAGTTCAAAGGGGCACAACTCCTAGAATAAAAATTGAATCATAATTTCCTGTCAATATGCACATCTACATAATATGTCTTAACTATCTACAAAGTTTCATGAAATTCTGTTGTGTGGTATCAGAGCAGTTGCGATGACAAACTGTTGCAGTAGTATATTTAGCCCAAAATTCTAAATTCAAAGGGGCATAACTCCTAAAAAAAATTAAATCATAATTTCCTGTCCAAATGCTCATCTATAATACATAATATATTATATACTATAATATCTACATATTATGTCCTTATTATCTAAAAAGTTTCATGAAATTCTGTTGTGTGGTTTCAGAGGAGTTGAGATGACAAGAACAGGACTGACTGACGGACGGACGGACTGACAGCAGGATGGGTCAAAAACATAAACCCTATGAAACATTGTTCTGTGGGGTATAAATATATTAAGATAGTATTGTATTAATTGAGTCAGCAAAGATTGAAAAAGATTGAGTTTGATTTTTTATTTTATTAGCAGTTTGATATAGGAAAGCCATTTATTGGAAAAAAATTGTAATATAGTAATATTTGTTTTTTCATGGTAAAAACTTTTAAACAAATAGTATTAATGATCAGAAGTGATAGAAAATACTCCATAAAAAGTTCTTTGTTTGAAATAACATACAACCAATCTGTAAAGTTTATGCTTTCACCTCTTTTTTTAAGGAAATAAATTGTTTATGTCTTTGAATTTCTTTACTTAACAATGAAAAACACTAGTGTGTACCCTGCATACTGATAAAATTTCTGATTGCCTAGAAATATAAAAGACTTTGATTTATGAGGGGAGATAACTTATAATTTAACTAAATAACATAAAACAGATTGTACTGTGAATTTATCCATTTGGAAAAAAGCAAGACAAATAAAATCAATTTTACCTTTTTATTTTCTAAAAAAGTTTAATAAGGTTTACCTTTTCTTATTTTATTTCAAAATTTTATAATTTAGTTTTCTTTCTAGTCAGGTATTTTCCCTAAGTACAATATTTGCAAAATATGAGAATATGCACATTATGTAGTTTGAAAACAAGCATGTTTTCTATGTTGTGATGTTATACTATTGTTTCAGAAAAGGGAGAAGGTTTGGTACCATTAAAACATTTAATCCCGCTGCAAATGTTTGCACCTGTCCTAAGTCAGGAATCTGATTACAGTAGTTGTCGTCTGTTTATGTAGTTCATTTTTGTTTTTATATAGATTAGACCGTTGGTTTTTCCGTTTGAATGGTTTTACACTAGTAATTTTTTGGGGCCCTTTATAGCTTGCTGTTCGGTGTGAGCCAATGCTCCGTGTTGAAGGCCGTACCTTGACCTATAATGGTTTCCTTTTATAAATTGTAACTTGGATGGAGAGTTGTCTCATTGGCACTCATACCACATCTTCCTATATCTATGAAGACAGAAAAAACTGTTAAGGCTAAGGGCGGTATAGAGCTTAACATCTGTCTCTGTATACTGACCTCCAGAATCCAGATGGTTATTTGTGATATTGGAGTATTTAAATATAAAATATTAAGTTCTTTGGGGTGATGTATACCCCTCATCTAGTTTTATTCATATTCACAACATGTACAGGGTACTTATTATTAAATAAATAGCTGGTTTAACTGAACCACTTGTGAAAAACGTTTTGAATAATTTATGTGATATCCTTATCAATGTTGTGTTGACCAGCTTTGTCTTTGAATACAAACAACAATAAGTTAAGATTCATGAAAATTACCAAGTAAAGAAACAGAAAAGAATAAGTTATCCAGCTGATTTTCTATCAAAGGGTGAATATTTGTATTTCTATCAAATGTTAGTCCAGATATTAAGACAATATATGAATGCTAAAATTTAGTTTTTTCTGTCTCACAGACTAGTGGCTGTCCTGCTGAGGTTAAATGTATTATATATCATATATAGTTTTATGTTATTTTGATAATACTGTGCACATATTGTACTTACACAAGACTTTAGATGATCTGTATATTTTGCCCCTATGTATAACTGTAATTTATGCATATCTTTATATAAAAACATTATGTTGTTGCGTTTTATTTTGCATACTGCAGATTCATTATCATTTGTTGGGTACCAATATTCATGGATTTTGTGGGTAAAGATGAACAACAAATTTAAATGTTCAACAAAGTCTATAGCGTAAGCTTGTATGCTGACTTTGGAAAAACAAAGAAATCAAATAAAAGGAAAATACAATTTTTCATTAATCCACAAAAATTGGTATCCATGAAAATAAATGAATCTACAGTACATATACAAACATGTAGGATTGTATTTTTCACACTTGTAATTTGATCCTTAGCACAGGAAAATAATACTTCCTGTCTACGATGGGCCTATAAAAACTATTTATTGACATTATTATGTGTCTCTAATTTTTTTCACATATCATTCAGAGATTTTGGAATGGAATAAAAATACAAATCTATTCCATAGCTTAGTAGTTACTTAAAAGAAAAACAATGTTTTTTTTCAATTAAAAAATCATTATAGGACCTAAGAGTTATTTAGAATTTCAAATCAGCCTCAATATACTAGTTTCTGATGCTATCCATTCAATGAAATTCTAACCAAGTTTGGTTTCAATCCATGTAAAGGTTCTCCAGATGATTAGTAAAATAGGAAGTTATCAATAGGTGATATACATCATGTGAAAGCAAACACTCACACCAACCTTTGGACCAGGGAGCTCAAGTGTACAAAAACCTGTTTCTCAACCTTAATGTGAATTTCATTTCAAGATATTATGGCCTTCTATCATTGAAGTGTAATTGTGTTAAAATTCACCTTATAAATATTGTTGAATAGCAACAAGTATATTATGATGATGTATTTATATATGATACATGGAGAGCAATCAAGACATGGGGACATTAGGATGATGTATTTATATATGATACATGGAGAGCAATCAAGACATGGGGACATTAGGATGATGTATTTATATATGATACATGGAGAGCAATCAAGACATGGGGACATTATGATGATGTATTTATATATGATACATGGAGAGCAATCAAGACATGGGGACATTAGGATGATGTATTTATATATGATACATGGAGAGCAATCAAGACATGGGGACATTAGGATGATGTATTTATATATGATACATGGAGAGCAATCAAGACATGGGGATATTATGATGGTGTATTTATATATGATACATGGAGAGCAATCAAGACATGGGGACATTATGATGATGTATTTATATATGATACATGGAGAGCAATCAAGACATGGGGACATTAGGATGATGTATTTATATATGATACATGGAGAGCAATCAAGACATGGGGACATTATGATGATGTATTTATATATGATACATGGAGAGCAATCAAGGCAATGCAGACATTAGGATGATGTATTTATATATGATACATGGAGAGCAATCAAGGCAATGCAGACATTAGGATGATGTATTTATATATGATACATGGAGAGCAATCAAGGCAATGCAGACATTATGATGATGTATTTATATATGATACATGGAGAGCAATCAAGACATGGGGACATTATGATGATGTATTTATATATGATACATGGAGAGCAATCAAGGCAATGCAGACATTAGGATGATGTATTTATATATGATACATGGAGAGCAATCAAGACATGGGGACATTATGATGATGTATTTATATATGATACATGGAGAGCAATCAAGACATGGGGACATTATGATGATGTATTTATATATGATACATGGAGAGCAATCAAGACATGGGGACATTATGATGATGTATTTATATATGATACATGGAGAGCAATCAAGACATGGGGACATTATGATGATGTATTTATATATGATACATGGAGAGCAATCAAGACATGGGGACATTATGATGATGTATTTATATATGATACATGGAGAGCAATCAAGACATGGGGACATTATGATGATGTATTTATATATGATACATGGAGAGCAATCAAGACATGGGGACATTAGGATGATGTATTTATATATGATACATGGAGAGCAATCAAGACATGGGGACATTAGGATGATGTATTTATATATGATACATGGAGAGCAATCAAGACATGGGGACATTAGGATGATGTATTTATATATGATACATGGAGAGCAATCAAGGCAATGCAGACATTAGGATGATGTATTTATATATGATACATGGAGAGCAATCAAGGCAATGCAGACATTAGGATGATGTATTTATATATGATACATGGAGAGCAATCAAGGCAATGCAGACATTAGGATGATGTATTTATATATGATACATGGAGAGCAATCAAGACAATGCAGACATTAGGATGATGTATTTATATATGATGCATGGAGAGCAATCAAGGCAATGCAGACATTAGGATGATGTATTTATATATGATACATGGAGAGCAATCAAGGCAATGCAGACATTAGGATGATGTATTTATATATGATACATGGAGAGCAATCAAGGCAATGCAGACATTAGGATGATGTATTTATATATGATACATGGAGAGCAATCAAGACAATGCAGACATTAGGATGATGTATTTATATATGATACATGGAGAGCAATCAAGGCAATGCAGACATTAGGATGATGTATTTATATATGATACATGGAGAGCAATCAAGGCAATGCAGACATTAGGATGATGTATTTATATATGATACATGGAGAGCAATCAAGGCAATGCAGACATTAGAATGATGTATTTATATATGATACATGGAGAGCAATCAAGACAATGCAGACATTAGGATGATGTATTTATATATGATACATGGAGAGCAATCAAGGCAATGCAGACATTAGGATGATGTATTTATATATGATACATGGAGAGCAATCAAGGCAATGCAGACATTAGGATGATGTATTTATATATGATACATGGAGAGCAATCAAGACATGGGGACATTAGGATGATGTATTTATATATGATACATGGAGAGCAATCAAGGCAATGCAGACATTAGGATGATGTATTTATATATGATACATGGAGAGCAATCAAGGCAATGCAGACATTAGGATGATGTATTTATATATGATACATGGAGAGCAATCAAGACATGGGGACATTAGGATGATGTATTTATATATGATACATGGAGAGCAATCAAGGCAATGCAGACATTAGGATGATGTATTTATATATGATACATGGAGAGCAATCAAGGCAATGCAGACATTAGGATGATGTATTTATATATGATACATGGAGAGCAATCAAGGCAATGCAGACATTAGGATGATGTATTTATATATGATACATGGAGAGCAATCAAGACAATGCAGACATTAGGATGATGTATTTATATATGATACATGGAGAGCAATCAAGGCAATGCAGACATTAGGATGATGTATTTATATATGATACATGGAGAGCAATCAAGGCAATGCAGACATTAGGATGATGTATTTATATATGATACATGGAGAGCAATCAAGACATGGGGACATTAGGATGATGTATTTATATATGATACATGGAGAGCAATCAAGGCAATGCAGACATTAGGATGATGTATTTATATATGATACATGGAGAGCAATCAAGGCAATGCAGACATTAGGATGATGTATTTATATATGATACATGGAGAGCAATCAAGGCAATGCAGACATTAGGATGATGTATTTATATATGATACATGGAGAGCAATCAAGGCAATGCAGACATTAGGATGATGTATTTATATATGATACATGGAGAGCAATCAAGGCAATGCAGACATTAGGATGATGTATTTATATATGATACATGGAGAGCAATCAAGGCAATGCAGACATTAGGATGATGTATTTATATATGATACATGGAGAGCAATCAAGGCAATGCAGACATTAGGATGATGTATTTATATATGATACATGGAGAGCAATCAAGGCAATGCAGACATTAGGATGATGTATTTATATATGATACATGGAGAGCAATCAAGACATGGGGACATTAGGATGATGTATTTATATATGATACATGGAGAGCAATCAAGGCAATGCAGACATTAGGATGATGTATTTATATATGATACATGGAGAGCAATCAAGGCAATGCAGACATTAGGATGATGTATTTATATATGATACATGGAGAGCAATCAAGGCAATGCAGACATTAGGATGATGTATTTATATATGATACATGGAGAGCAATCAAGGCAATGCAGACATTAGGATGATGTATTTATATATGATACATGGAGAGCAATCAAGACATGGGGACATTAGGATGATGTATTTATATATGATACATGGAGAGCAATCAAGACAATGCAGACATTAGGATGATGTATTTATATATGATACATGGAGAGCAATCAAGACATGGGGACATTAGGATGATGTATTTATATATGATACATGGAGAGCAATCAAGGCAATGCAGACATTAGGATGATGTATTTATATATGATACATGGAGAGCAATCAAGGCAATGCAGACATTAGGATGATGTATTTATATATGATACATGGAGAGCAATCAAGGCAATGCAGACATTAGGATGATGTATTTATATATGATACATGGAGAGCAATCAAGGCAATGCAGACATTAGGATGATGTATTTATATATGATACATGGAGAGCAATCAAGACATGGGGACATTAGGATGATGTATTTATATATGATACATGGAGAGCAATCAAGGCAATGCAGACATTAGGATGATGTATTTATATATGATACATGGAGAGCAATCAAGGCAATGCAGACATTAGGATGATGTATTTATATATGATACATGGAGAGCAATCAAGGCAATGCAGACATTAGGATGATGTATTTATATATGATACATGGAGAGCAATCAAGGCAATGCAGACATTAGGATGATGTATTTATATATGATACATGGAGAGCAATCAAGGCAATGCAGACATTAGGATGATGTATTTATATATGATACATGGAGAGCAATCAAGGCAATGCAGACATTAGGATGATGTATTTATATATGATACATGGAGAGCAATCAAGGCAATGCAGACATTAGGATGATGTATTTATATATGATACATGGAGAGCAATCAAGACATGGGGACATTAGGATGATGTATTTATATATGATACATGGAGAGCAATCAAGGCAATGCAGACATTAGGATGATGTATTTATATATGATACATGGAGAGCAATCAAGGCAATGCAGACATTAGGATGATGTATTTATATATGATACATGGAGAGCAATCAAGGCAATGCAGACATTAGGATGATGTATTTATATATGATACATGGAGAGCAATCAAAGCAATGCAGACATTAGGATGATGTATTTATATATGATACATGGAGAGCAATCAAGACATGGGGACATTAGGATGATGTATTTATATATGATACATGGAGAGCAATCAAGACAATGCAGACATTAGGATGATGTATTTATATATGATACATGGAGAGCAATCAAGACAATGCAGACATTAGGATGATGTATTTATATATGATACATGGAGAGCAATCAAGACAATGCAGACATTATGATGATTTTATATATGATACATGGAGAGCTATCAAGACATGGGGACATTATGAGGATGTATTTATATATGATACATGGAGAGCAATCAAGGCAATGCAGACATTAGGATGATGTATTTATATATGATACATGGAGAGCAATCAAGGCAATGCAGACATTAGGATGATGTATTTATATATGATACATGGAGAGCAATCAAGACATGGGGACATTAGGATGATGTATTTATATATGATACATGGAGAGCAATCAAGACAATGCAGACATTAGGATGATGTATTTATATATGATACATGGAGAGCAATCAAGACAATGCAGACATTAGGATGATGTATTTATATATGATACATGGAGAGCAATCAAGACAATGCAGACATTAGGATGATGTATTTATATATGATACATGGAGAGCAATCAAGACAATGCAGACATTAGGATGATGTATTTATATATGATACATGGAGAGCAATCAAGACAATGCAGACATTAGGATGATGTATTTATATATGATACATGGAGAGCAATCAAGACAATGCAGACATTAGGATGATGTATTTATATATGATACATGGAGAGCAATCAAGACATGGGGACATTATGATGATGTATTTATATATGATACATGGAGAGCTATCAAGACATGGGGACATTATGAGGATGTATTTATATATGATACATGGAGAGCAATCAAGGCAATGCAGACATTAGGATGATGTATTTATATATGATACATGGAGAGCAATCAAGACATGGGGACATTAGGATGATGTATTTATATATGATACATGGAGAGCAATCAAGACAATGCAGACATTAGGATGATGTATTTATATATGATACATGGAGAGCAATCAAGACAATGCAGACATTAGGATGATGTATTTATATATGATACATGGAGAGCAATCAAGACAATGCAGACATTAGGATGATGTATTTATATATGATACATGGAGAGCAATCAAGACAATGCAGACATTAGGATGATGTATTTATATATGATACATGGAGAGCAATCAAGACAATGCAGACATTAGGATGATGTATTTATATATGATACATGGAGAGCAATCAAGACATGGGGACATTAGGATGATGTATTTATATATGATACATGGAGAGCAATCAAGACATGGGGACATTAGGATGATGTATTTATATATGATACATGGAGAGCAATCAAGACATGGGGACATTAGGATGATGTATTTATATATGATACATGGAGAGCAATCAAGATATGGGGACATTATGATGATGTATTTACATATGATACATGGAGAGCAATCAAGACATGCCAACATTAGGATGATGTATTTATTCATGATACATGGAGAGCAATCAAGACATGGGGACATTATGCTGATGAATTTATATATGATACATGGAGAGCAATCATGACATGGGGACATTATGATGATGTATTTATATATGATACATGGAGAGCTATCAAGACATGGGGACATTATGAGGATGTATTTATATATGATACATGGAGAGCAATCAAGACATGGGGACATTATGATGATGTATTTATATATGATACATGGAGAGCTATCAAGACATGGGGACATTATGATGATGTATTTATATATGATACATGGAGAGCAATCAAGACATGGGGACATTATGCTGATGTATTTATATATGATACATGGAGAGCAATCAAGGCATGGGGACATTAGGATGATGTATTTATATATGATACATGGAGAGCAATCAAGACATGGGGACATTATGATGGTGTATTTATATATGATACATGGAGAGCAATCAAGACATGGGGACATTATGATGATGTATTTATATATGATACATGGAGAGCTATCAAGACATGGGGACATTATGAGGATGTATTTATATATGATACATGGAGAGCAATCAAGACATGGGGACATTATGATGATGTATTTATATATGATACATGGAGAGCAACCAAGACATGGGGACATTATGAGGATGTACTTATATATGATACATTGAGAGCAATCAAGAGTTTGCAAGTAAACTATGCAGTCAATGAAATGGTATGGTGTAAATAATGATTACTTCATACAAATGATGATGGAATTATTTGTTATCTTCTGCATGTTTTTTAATTGGACATGCCTGTTTCTCTTGAATTGATAGTGAAAAGAATTGATAGAATTATATCAAACAATTTGATTTCATCAGATTATTCAAAACATTAAACAACAATTTTCCAAAACCTTTTAGTCTCAGTACATCAAAAAATCTTTCCCATGCGACATTAATTCACATGTTAACTTCAATATAACTTGACATAATATCTACAATTACCTTTATTATTTCTTCGTCATACCATATATTTTTTTGGGATGGGACGATGCAGATTACAAATCCTTATTATTTGAAATATGTTATGTCTCCTCACTAGCTGTTATTAAACCTGATGTCTGATGCCATAAAAAAAGGGACTACTATATACTGGATATTTTGAGTTACCTTTGACATCTGGTTATTATAATATACCTAACTCATATTTCCATATTTACTGAGTGCTGTACAACCTCATTTGATTTACAAAAAAACGCATGTGAATTTTCATATGTGGCTGATTGATTGAAAGATGACTGTTTAAAGTAGGATTTTTAATGTGCTTGTTCACAAGGTAACTGTCTACAGGATTACATGTCACCCAACCTGGACACATTATTCTGACTCGAGGCCTAGTCTTTGCTCATACTTCTAAATGCTGTGTGTTTAGTGTTTATATATGAAGAGAAGAACCAACCTGTATAATCTACTGAAGGAAAGATGGACTCTTCCTGTATCTTTGACATGATTGGTGTTGCTACATCCAATAACTGCTGGATAACTATGAAAATATATGATTAAGTATATATATCAATGAATCAAATGACTGTTGAAACAATAAAAATTATTGATCAGAGTCTTAAAGTTCCATTAGATGCTTGAAAGACTGTTTCTAATATTATTTTTTTCACAAGGAGCACAAATAGTCTTCTTTCACAAGCTCAAAGAACATACTGACAAGAGAAAAAGGTACATCTTGCACAGAATGTTAAATTAGGAATAAGCCAATATGTTGAATAAAATTAATCTAACTTTCTGAATACAATTTCAAAACTTTTGTAATAAATCAATCAAAATTACGATTAATCAAAATATGACAGTATGGTAATTGTGTTTTGTTGATATGTTTGATTATGATTTAATATATTCATTGTTAAATGAAAAGAAAAATGCAAATAAGAGTAAAAGTCATCTCATTTTGAGACAATTAAAAAAAAATGACATGCCTAGTCATTGCTGCATAAAGAACAACATTGATCATAGGCCTATAATAAAATAAAAGTCATGGAAATTTTTATAAAAAAAATAGACTTATCAGCTGTAATTCATACCATTTCCTTTGACTAAGTCTGCTCTGTTTAATAAAATCTTGATAAGGTTAACTCTACATTTGTCTAGCCAACTCTTTCCTTGGTCATGCTTCTTCAGTGAAAGGAACTTCACCAGGTCATTCTCTGAAACATTAATTTTCTTCTTATTTATTGCATATTACAAGGAAAAATCAATTGGCAATTTATTTCAATACTTTTTAATGTTACTGTTCTTGTGTTGAATTCTAATTTAACACAACAATACAGTATAGACAAACAGATCCCTCAAGACGTATCATTGTTTTATGGTACATGTATATAGTGGTTCATTTTGGCTCTCATTGGATCTTTTCACTTTTGTAGAAAAATATGATGTGATTAATGTACCTGTTCTCAAACATCTAAGATTTTCAATATTTTCTGTAATACAGTTGATAAATAATTATAATCAAATTACAATTAGGTAATTCAGGTGGCCTGACATTATTATAAATATAGTTTTGATATGGCCAAAAAAATAAACTATGAAAAGACACAGAATTTCTTTTTGTTCCCAAGTGAATTTTCAAAACCCAGGCATTCCATTTCAAGCAGTAAAATAATGTGATTTACGAAAAATATATTGTTTGGTGCTCTGTCTATGGCGACAACAACATATTTGTCATGAAAGTAGGACAAGTGCTTAGCAACATTTGGGTATTTGAAGATAGATGTAGCATAAACCTATTTAGTTTTCTATTCTGATTTGTATCAGCAATCTCACAGCCCTAACATATTCAAATAAAGTATAAAGTATCTACATCTTTTTTTCACGTTTTAACCAAAGGGTATAGAAATATAAAAACAAAGTTCACTACAATGTTTTCTTTGAAATAGATGAGACATCTACAAAATAATTAATTGGTAATTTTCATACTAAATCTACTTTTAAAGTTGATGTTGATGATAATAGGATTAACTTTCATACTTTCAACTAGTCTATCAAATGAAAATCAAATTTTAGATGCTATAAAATACTGTTACATATAAAGAAATAAAAAAAAATTGATGAAAAATATCCTATAACTTAAAATTCCACTGTTGTTTTATAAACTGGGCCGCGTCGGATAGAATTCGACCTTATGCAAATAAATATTAATACATCTGTTAACCAGTATTTTGCGTTGAAAAATCTCTATTGAAAATCTGTAACTGTTTGAAAATTGAGCTGTTGTAAGAAAATCTACAAAACATACCAAAACCCAACTTTTATTTCGTATTTGAATTTCCAAAATCAATTAAAGTCTTATATATGTACATGTATATGTGCATTTGCGTAAGTCGATTTCTATCCAACACAGCTCAACTGTTGTACAATACAATAATAACTTATATTGCCATATTGAAATTTTTCTTTTTTTCTCACTCCATTTTTCCATAAGCATGTGCAAATCTATTCACTCTGATTTCATGCAAAACATGTTTTTCAACTCCACAAGTTTCATGCAAAAGTCATTGAAAAAGAGTGCTGCAAAAATGCAAAGTGATACCAAAAGTTATGACTACCAATTTGTCATTCAATTAATTGTTTTTATCTTGAAATATTGACTTATCATTAAAATAATTGATTATATAAAGCACTTGACAAGCCATTTTCAATATGTGCAAAAAGATGCTTGAATCCAGATCACCAAAGTGCTTTCATTTCTACTTGGGAGGAAATACCTTGAAGATCAAACAAAGCTTCATCTGATTCGGACTCTGTAAAAAGCATACTAAACTAAAACTAAACCCTTCTATGTAATAAAAAACATAGAGCAAAGTAACTCAATCTAGGCTGTGACTGTCACTAAAAAATCTTATAGCAAAGTAACTCAATCTAGGCTGTGACTGTCACTAAAAAATCTTATAGCAAAGTAACTCAATCTAGGCTGTGACTGTCACTAAAAAATCTTATAGCAAAGTAACTCAACCTAGGCTGTGACTGTCACTAAAAAATCTTATAGCAAAGTAACTCAATCTAGGCTGTGACTGTCACTAAACAATTTCTACATTGACTAATAACACATGTGCATAATATAAAATTTATTCTTTTAATTTTATCAACTATTCAATGCTGTTAAAATTATGAGTTATAAAAGTCGATTGAAGTAAATTTAAACTATACATGTAAATTAAATTGAAAAATCGCCTTCCATTATAAACGACTATTTCTTCATTTTTCCTGCTAATAATTTTCCTGTATATATCTTTCTCTTATGTACAGATATCATATCATACTGGTTTAGTACTGATGATAAATTATAAACATATCTAGCTATTTGCAGATTCTACTGTTTTTCCATAGAAAAAATTAGCACACCAAAATATCTTTTAATACAATTTATCTTCACATTTAACCATATACTTGTTTTTACAATCAATGTTAGTCCTACAGTCTGAGAAATTAGATTTCAATACATACAAGGAACACATGTTCCCACAAAGACCACATAACTTCTAATAAAGGTATAGATGTGTTTTTTTTATGAAAATATATTTTATTTAATTCCCCCATTCAGTTCTGAATCCTATTAACCCCCCAACAGAAAAATAACACTTCTAAGAATCACTTTTTCTTCAGCAAAACAAGTAACTGTTAGTCATGGTTACTCATATGCTCCTATATATTCAACCCTTTTCATTATTTTTCTGAACCCAAATGGTGTTTCCATTTTTGTCATTAAAAAATACCTAACATTTAGAATCCGAGGAATCTTTTTTAAGTAAATGGTTTTTATTTTTTAAATACCACACTTTTTTTATTTATCCAGGTTATCAGACAGGTGGGTAATATAGAATGTACCAGTTTTTCTTCTGTGTTATACACCATTGATAGTTATACACCACTGATAGGCTTTTTTCTGGTCAATGTGTCAAGTATATGACCAATACCTTGGAGAATAAGGTAACCAAGACAGCAATGCTTTTGAGTTGTTTGAAGTAAAATGTTTAATAAAACCTTGTTTAACTGTAGATCTTAAAGCATTTAATAATACCTTGTTTAACTGTAGATCTTAAAGCATTTAATAATACCTTGTTTAACTGTAGATCTTAAAGTATTTAATAATACCTTGTTTAACTGTAGATATTAAAGCATTTATTAATACCTTGTTTAACTGTAGATCTTAAAGCATTTAATAATACCTTGTTTAACTGTAGATCTTAAAACATTTAATAATACCTTGTTTAACTGTAGATCTTAAAGCATTTATTAATACCTTGTTTAACTGTAGATCTTAAAGCATTTATTAATACCTTGTTTAACTGTAGATCTTAAAACATTTATCAATACCTTGTTTAACTGTAGACCTTAAAGTATTTAATAATACCTTGTTTAACTGTAGACCTTAAAACATTTATCAATACCTTGTTTAACTGTAGATCTTAAAACATTTATTAATACCTTGTTTAACTGTAGATCTTAAAACATTTAATAATACCTTGTTTAACTGTAGATCTTAAAGCATTTAATAATACCTTGTTCAACTGTAGATCTTAAAGCATTTAATAATACCTTGTTTAACTGTAGACCTTAAAACATTTATCAATACCTTGTTTAACTGTAGACCTTAAAGCATTTATTAATACCTTGTTTAACTGTAGATCTTAAAACATTTAATAATACCTTGTTTAACTGTAGATCTTAAAGCATTTATTAATACCTTGTTTAACTGTAGATCTTAAAGCATTTATTAATACCTTGTTTAACTGTAGATCTTAAAACATTTATCAATACCTTGTTTAACTGTAGACCTTAAAGTATTTAACAATACCTTGTTTAACTGTAGACCTTAAAACATTTATCAATACCTTGTTTAACTGTAGATCTTAAAACATTTATTAATACCTTGTTTAACTGTAGATCTCAAAACATTCAATAAAACCTTGTTTAACTGTAGATCTTAAAGCATTTATTAATACCTTGTTTAACTGTAGATCTTAAAACATTTAATAATACCTTGTTTAACTGTAGATCTTAAAGCATTTAATAATACCTTGTTAAACTGTAGATCTTACAGCATTTATTAATACCTTGTTTAACTGTAGATCTTAAAGCATTTAATAATACCTTGTTTAACAGTAGATCTTAAAGCATTTAATAATACCTTGTTTAACAGTAGATCTAGCTCCCAAGTTAGGAATGTAAGCTCTAGGTACAGGATAGGATGATATCAATGGATAAGGGTATACATGTCCACGAGTGTCCTGTTAAAACATTATATATATTAACATTTTACAAAAATATGTCAATCTATACAATTGTACATCTCTTACTGTGACTTGATCTTTAGAATGACTCTTTACAATAACAATATGCACAGAAATGTTTAGCTATATTTTCATACATTTATTGACAATGAAGTGGAGTTAAAGTCTTATGGGATAGTAAGTATGCTTTATTTTTTGTCACGCTGCACTTTGATGACTTGACTGCGGTTTTCCACAGCAGTTTCTGATTAGCTGAAGTGTTTGGTTTGATAAAACAAATTGCAATTGGGTCACAATTTTGAATGAACTGCATTAGGTGGAAAGCAAGGCTTACAGTCAAGTCAAAGTTATAGATTTATTATTCCTAATAAAGCAGAAACTTTATAACATGTATATCTTAATAATTTATTTGTCATTCTTAAATTATATACAAGCTATAAGATATTTGCGACATTCCTTACTGAGTGCCTTTTTGTAAGATCCATTTATAAAACTGTGTTGTTTGGTTGATATGTTAGCTTTGTCAAACAATCTCAAGCAACTATACAGACATCATTCTTTATCTATTCGTCTAATGTATTATATAACTGATTTGAAGAAAAAAATCAAATGTTGTCTATTTCAGTTCAGAGTACAAATGTATCTATTGTATGATTGGATGTAATTTGTCATTGGATTAGATCTAAAACAGACTGCACACATGTCTTCAAAATTTCTTTGGCTTGAGATGGACAAGGTTTACAAGTGAAAACATTACATTTAACTAACAGTACACCAGACAACTAGTATAAATAGACTTACCATGTCTAGCCCTCTTGGTGGTAGAATCCTTTCAGAAGGACCACCTATTAAGAACGCTCTGACTAGTACATAATTTCTTTCTATAGATAACATGTCTATTATTATCTCTTCTCTGGAAAAAAAATTAGATATATAAAGAATATAAACTATGATTAGATATTAGTACAGACAAACAAATATTAACTATTCTATCTTAGAACATAAGGGAAAATAATGTTATGTTTGAATATATGACAATCATTAGATGGACACCTGGTGTAATGAAACAAGTGTGCAAACATTCTGAAAAAAAGTTGTTAGTCTTTGGTGAACTGTACTCACTTTGAATGATGGATGAGGTTCAAAGGGTAATCTTTTTACAATATTCTGGATCAGAATATGTTCATGTGACATAACATTAGTATTCCTTAAACAGGAAGTTAATCAACAATGGATGTGAAAAAGCATCAACCAATACAGCATGATAATATGATGCTTCATTCCAAATTTCAAAAATTCATACCTGGCTATTATGTGTAAGAATGTATAAGTATTCATTATACAGGAATTGGATGAGCTATGAATCTGAAAATGCATCAAATGGTAAAGCATGCTCATATGAAACTTGAACTCAAATTTCAAAAGCCTTGATTTTTAGTTCCTGAGAAAAATGTGAGAAAAATTAATTTGTACAAGGCCATTATGTGTAAGAATATATAAGTATTCTGTCATAAACATGAAGTGGTTAAGTGATGGATCTGAAAATGCACTACAGGGTATAGCATACTTACATAAAGCCTGATACCAAATTACAGTAAATTCTGATTTGAAGGTCCAGAGAAAAACATGACCAAACTTTTATGGGAAGGATGGGCAGAAGGACGGACTAACAAATGTAAACCAGTATACCCCCTCCTTTCAGAGCAGGGGTATAATTATGAATCCTGCTTTGTACTAAATAGACATGCTGAGCAGGATTTTTCATGTACAAAAGTTCACAGGCAACCATTTCACTCTACCTAGACTTTAAACTGTCCATTTATTACCTCTACACCTACATGCTTTGGATATTTAGCTGATAAACAGCAAAGTCCTGGTTTAATTTTTTTTTCGCTTAATCTAGATGTTGATTGAAACCATTACATACAGGATGCAAGCAAGCTACATTTCTACATTGAGGACAATGAGATTGGTTACTTTCTTAGAGAACTGACCAACTATTTTGAGATACAGATACATCTTTTTCTTACAGAACCTAATTGTCAACAGAATGAATTTCAGCCCAACAAACAACTGTTCATTAGAATGATATTCAACCATTGTTTTCACATGGATACATATATTATACATAATTGGTATAATTTCCAGTTAGTCTTGAAACAGTTCTCAAAGAACTACCTTGTGTTTGGTATGATTTTCAGCTTGTTTGTTTACAACTTTCCTGTTTTTGGTATGATTTGCAGCCTGTGTGTTGAGAACTAGCCTGTCTTTGGTATGATTTTTGGCCTGTGTGTTGAGAACTTACCTGTCTTTGATATGATTTTCCACCTGTGAATTGACAACTTACCTGTCTTTTTATGATTTTCCACTCGTGAATTGACAACTTACCGGTCTTTAGTATGATTTTCAGCCTGTGAAGTAAGCAGTATATCCTGGAACTTATACTGTGACTGCAGTAACAGATAGGTATCCAAACAGGAAATCATCACACTAAGAACTCTGTAAAACATTGATTAATTCATTGCTTTCCATCCATTGCAAATATGAATATAAAGGTTGAGAACAAAATTTATCAATGAACTAATAAGGAAGGTTCTGCAACATGGGTCAAATAGGATGAAGGATGAGAAATTTGGAACACACTGTATTTGGGTAGAGCAGATATTTTGCCTTGCAATAGGTAACTTGACAGACCCCTCACAGTTCTTACAAGAATGTTTTAATATGCAAGGAGCATAGCACTGTCCCAATATCAGACATCTTATTCCCTGCAAGAGTTTGTATGTTTTGATAAAGTTACTCCAATAATCCTACTATGAATAATCCGATATGATCATGGATTGACTTCAATGAGACAGCAATCCAATAACAGAGGTGAACTAAAACTGACATATAGAAATTAACATCCAGTTCAACCATGACTGAGTTGCCACCTTGGATGATGTGATCTTAATTAACTCAGATTGGAAAAGTTTGCGCAAAATAAATTAGTATACAATGTAGCATTTTTGACCGCAAAAAAAGTATCTAAGACTTGTACAGCATAATCATATGACTCATTGCTAAATGAGTTGTAAGAAAAAACTCATTTCTTTGAAATACAGCAATTGCAAGTACTTTAATTTGGTTATGACTTGTACATCTACTCCATTATCAAATGGGGATATATTGTACAAATTGTGGCCTTCTTTTAGTATAAGTGTCCAACAACTTATAAAGTTATAGTAAACTAATGCTTACTCTAAACCTATCTCAAACCTAAACCCATACCTAACCCTAAAACTAGCCCTTACCCTAAATCCTAACCCAAACCTACAACAAACCCAAACCCTAAAGAATATGGACTCTTAAAGTAAATGAAGGCCCAATTTTCATTATCAAAATAACTTATGCTAAACCTTTTGTTATTTCAGAATGGGTAAGACTCATATACTTTTAAATGTATCCCTTATCCACTGAAATGTGACAACAAATGTTCTGACAACACTTGTGTTTTCAATTAGTTAAATGTTTAATTATTGTGTTTTTCCCTAAAAAATGTAACAAACTTAACAAATATGAGATTATATAAGTATATTTCTCTTACCTGAGCCCAAACACATGAGACTGTTCAAAATTAAATAATGAATGAATTTTTGCTGGTGAGTCCACAATCACAAATCTGTCTACAAACTCCTAAAGACAAAAACATGCTAAAATAAAATATACTTGTTTCTGCTTAAAAAATGCTTAAATAATATATCAATATCAAGAGTAAAACAAGTAATTTTATTATGATGAAGAACTTTATTATGCAACAAGCCAGCAAAATTCAAAGATTGTCTGCTCTTTTGTCAGGTTGTTGTCTCTTTGATACATTCCCCCTCTCAATTCTATCAACATTTCTGCATGAAATAACTTTGATATTTAAGGGAAGTCCAATATACATAAATACAAATCCAAACATTTAAAGCATTTTTGAGACTGGAGTCCATTTATCAAGAAAAAAATAAGAATGATTAATATCAACAATTCAGTCTTTCATCTCCATTTGATTATAAAGAAGGATAGATCCTTAAATTCAAAGTTACTCACTATCTATAAAGTGTTTTTTTTATAATAATTGTGCAATTATATAATAAAAATTACCACAACTGAATCAGGAATTTCTCTAAAACCGTAACTTTCTTTCTTTGGTAAACTTTTATCTCCCAATAATTCATACACTGCATAAAAGCTTGATAACACATTCAACAATTTTATCAAACTCTAAAATGTAAAAATAAACATATCATTACAAAAAAACTGTTTTACAAGTTTATAAGTTAATGTCTCATTGACAAACACCCACATTTTTTTGTGTCTTTCTTTAGAGGTGTTGACAAACTGTTATAAGAATCTTGCAGAAAAAAATAAAAAAAACATTTCAGTATTTAAGAGTGCAATAATTGTATGCAATTGTTAAGTACATTTTATTAGTTTAAAGTTACTTTTATTTCTATTCTTCATACCATTGCTATGCTAAATACTCGTAGATCAGCGTCGACTTTTCTTAAATTAGCAAAATCAGCAAGTTTTATCTAATCATATATAAGTATATCATGCAGGCACAGTTTTCAAATTTAAAATACAGCAAATATTTGAAGAAAGTCCTTAAAATATTAATAAAATAGAAATGACAAATTAAACCTCTTGGAAGATTTTTTGTTCTATATAAATTACAATACAAGAATTTGGTTTTTTTCATTTTATAAATGCATCCATATGATCTTTTAATTAGTCTAACCTTATGAGATGATCTTTCTATAGGGTCCACTGGCCAGGCCTTTGGTGTAAACAATACTGTATCTAAAGGACTGGACTCTAACACTGACCACAGTTCTGACAGCAATGCTTTAATATATCCTATAAATGTATTCCAATAAATTATTTATTTATAATCATTTTATTCTGTATTCCATCTCAAATTATAAATGAGACAGTTTTTATTACAATAATTAGAGTTGTTTAAAGTTCCACACAGCAACTAAATACATAAAGTAATATATATTTACAACTAAGTAAAAACAAGAGTACACATACAGAAATGTCTTACCTGCTTTACTGATCATGATTGACTATTATGTTGAAAGTCTTTAAAATAAAAGTTCTACAACAGGTATTACATAAACTTGACATTATAAATACTTTAAAATTGGTATTTGCTGCTTCTCTGCTAAGTATGCAGCATTAAAGAGTAAGACAAAGACTGGTCAGAATAATGTTCCGGGTAGGGAGACATGTCTTCCTGCAGACTGTTACCTTGTGAACTAGCAGGTTAAAAACCTGGCTCAGTATGACAGTCTAGTACAAAGCAGGGTTAATATTCATACTACATTAACATTTTCTCGGCCTGAATGTGCATTTAAATTGCCGCTGGACATTAAACAGCCATCCATCATCATTATCACACTAATAAGTGAGATATTATGTCATAAAAAAACTATTCAGTTTTTCTAAGAACTTGGTGAACAATGAAAATGAGGTCATGGACAACGGACTCTGGATGACACTTTGTAACATAAGGCATCTGTATAAATGATATGAAGTATTTACAGCTTCCACATTCTGAAATATACCCTGATTAGAATTTATTTGTTGTGCATTCTGCAACATTTGTAGCAGCAGAGAGGAAAAACCATATCAACAGAAAATTTTGCTACTGGCAGATGCTTATCTAAAAATGTCAATTTTGAATACATTAGCTCCAAACATTTGGTACATAATTATGAAGGATATTAGACATTAAACTATATGTGACTACATCCAAAAAACTTACCTGTTTTCTGTAGAGCAACCATGCCAGGGGCAGTTCCTGCTACCTGTGTAACCATAAAACCATAACCAAACTTCTCACATTTGCTAACCTATTTGTTCAGAATAAAAATAATTTACAAAATAAATAAACTGTTATCACAGAGATATGTCTCGCCTTTTTGTAATTTTGATAATGCAAATGTTGAAATTAAAATAGCAATACTTTAACATGTAAGTTATGCAAATATTCAAAGTCGATGAACCATGACTGAAGGTACATGGCTGAACAATCTCCATGGAATGAGATGTGCCAATGCTAATACAACTGCATACCAAATACCATTGACTTATTATAAGTCGTTCCCTTGAAACAAACCTAAACACAAACATTAACTTGTAAACTATGTAAAAGTTTCAAAGTCAATGAACCATGATCAGGGGTGGGGCTATATAATCTCCATGGAAACAATACTTGCAAATGCCAATAAATTTGCATACCAAATATCATTTACTTAACATTAGCAGTTCATCTTAAACTGATCTAATAACAAACTAATACATGTAAACTAAGCAAAAGTTTCAAAGTAAATAGACCATGACTGAGGGGGCGGGGCCAAATATTCTCCATGGAAATGAGATGTGCTAATGCTTATACAACTGAACACCAATTAACATTGGCCTACCACTTATGGTTCTCCTTGAACTGACCTAATCACAAACTAATACATGTTAACTTAGCAAAATTTTCAAAGTCTATAGACCATGACTAAGGGGGCAGCCAAATAATCTCCATGGAAATGAGATATGCCAATGCTTTTACAACTGCATACCAAATATCATTGACCTACCACTAGTGGTTCCCCATAAATTGACCTAATCACAAACTAATACATGTAAACTATGAAAAGTTTCAAAGTCAATAGACCTTGACTGAGGGGGCGGGGCCAAATAATCTCCATGGTAATGAGATGTGCCAATGCTAATACAACTGCATACCAAATATCATTGACCTACCACTAGTGGTTCACCATGAACTAGACCTAATCACAAACTAATACATTGTTGACGCCGCCGCCGTCGCCGCTGGAAACAGCATACCTATGTCTCGTTTTTTGACTCCGTCAAGGCAAGACAAAAACTGAAACAATAAAAGGTATAGAAACATAATCATAATGAAAATCACTTAACTGTAATCATAATGAAAATCACTGGACATTATCTATGATATGATTGTCATTACCCATGCTGATCATTCTTTTTAACTATTTACAACTAATTTATCTTTCTTTCTTTTGCAGCATCAAAATTTGTACATATTCAATACATTTTTTTTATTAGTACATAATTGCTAAGTCTTACCTGTAATTTGTTTTTATATCTATCATACATATAGGTCATACATTCATTCATAGCTTTGGTTTGCTGTAACAACAATATTCCTTTAGCAGTACTAGCAAAGTTCAGTAAGTTATCTCTTAGAGTGTCTTCCCAAGCATTTCTGTTAACAAATTACAATGAAATGGAGTTAAGTAGAAACAGAATGTGCTTATAATTCATTGTGACATCATGTGTTACTAAAGATACAAATGTATGTGAAGTGCTTTGATTCTTTCTAGTGTATATTCTGTCTTCAAATGATTTATATATGACAATTTGATAGTTTGATTGCAGTTTTAACCCTTTAGAACATAAATAAGCAGCTGCAAAAGGAGTGCAAGATACATCTGTTGTATGCATATTGAAATGTTTGCTAGAATAAAATGGAATATTGTCAAATGCATTTAATTTAGAAGTTAGTAAATTGCAGAATATTTTTGGGAATATACAAATTCCCTTAATTTTGACAATTTTAAGTCCCATAACTCTATATAATATTCAGTATTGAAAGAGTGCTTACTTTCACCATTCCAAAGAACAGTGTAAAGTTTGAAGTAAATTTTTCTAAGCATTCTTCATCTAACGCATGACATGTAAAAAAGAAAAAAACTAGTAGTTAGCTCACATTAATGTGTGACATGTGCAAATTTGCCTTAAATTTGATTCAATATTTTGTTTATGTGTACTGAAATCTGTGATTTTAATATGCCTGTAAAATCAACAACTGTGAAGTCAAAATTTAGTTTTTTAATGTTTCTAGTAATGCGAAAAATCTCACAGAAGGAATCTCCCAATAGTTAGAACAAATATAAATTTTGTTAGCATTATTTCTATGTAGCAATTCTTGAGATTGCATTAATTTATTTCATATTTTTGTCTACTGTTCATCAACCACATTATAATTATGTGGAATAATTTCTTTTAATATACAGTAATGATATGAATCAATGAATACTAAGTAAGAGTATTGATATGTCATAAGCTTTTATTAGTTGTAGTAACAGTAGAATCAATGAATACTAAGTAAGAGTATTTACATGTCATAAGCTTTAGTTGTAGTTACAGTAGAATCAATGAATACTAAGTAAGAGTATTGACATGTCATAAGCTTTAGTTGTAGTTACAGTAGAATCAATGAATACTAAGTAAGTTACAGTAGAATCAATGAATACTAAGTAAGAGTATTGATATGTCATAAGCTTTAGATGTAGTTACAGTAGAATCAATGAATACTAAGTAAGAGTATTGACATGTCATAAGCTTTAGATGTAGTTACAGTAGAATCAATGAATACTAAGTAAGAGTATTGAGATATCATAAGCTTTAGTTGTAGTTACAGTAGAATCAATGAATACTAAGTAAGAGTATTGATATGTCATAAGCTTTAGTTGTAGTTACAGTAGAATCAATGAATACTAAGTAAGAGTATTGACATGTCATATGCTTTTGTTGTAGTTACAGTAGAATCAATGAATACTAAGTAAGAGTATTGACATGTCATAAGCCTTAGTTGTAGTTTCAGTAGAATCAATGAATACTAAGTAAGAGTATTGACATGTCATATGCTTTTGTTGTAGTTGCAGTAGAATCAATGAATACTAAGTAAGAGTATTGACATGTCATAAGCTTTAGTTGTAGTTACAGTAGAATCAATGAATACTAAGTAAGAGTATTTACATGTCATAAGCTTTAGTTGTAGTTGCAGTAGAATCAGAACTATCATCAGACAAGGTGGGTGTGTCTGTTCTTTCTGCTTCTGAGTAGGCCTGTAAGTATAAGTCATTGCTTTTAGTTACTGAAATAACTTTATTTAATGAAAGAACCTTTACTAAGAAAGCTCACATACCTCAATCTCTACGCATAATTAATATGGGATATTTTTACACCTTCTCAAAATTATCCTCTCTTTTAGATTTTTTTTCTGATTATAGGACTCCTCTGAGGTTGATGAGTTGAAACCTTTATACAAATTTGAAAAGGATCTGATAAAAAAATTCACTATACTGTTGACAAGATCAAAATGGGATATTTTTTAGAGTCCACCTCCAGCAAAAGTGCCCAGCTATTTAATATTTACTGATTATCAAACTCATCCAAATTTGTAGACCAGCCAACAAAATATGAAAGCCCTATCTTGGCAACACCAATTGATGGAGGATGGACAGACTGATGGATGGGGTCAAAAGCAGGGCTCCAAAACGGTTGTATTTTCCGGACATGTGCGATGAATTATAAATACGACTTGTTGTGCCATACCTGAAACGGACATTTAATGTAGGTTTGCCATTTTAACATAATTAAAAAAAAAAAAAATTGAAGTTTTTGCGATCTTTTTGATCTGACCTTTTGCCTTAAACAGCCACATTTCTGGTCATAAAAGTGACATGGTGAATAAGTACTATCAAAACAAATCCTACTTTAATACCCTCTCATTACAATCAAGGTTAATTAGTTGTCAGACAGTTGAAATTTACCTGTTCAGGTAACAGATAAACTAATATGTACCGGACATTGATCGGTCTATTTGAAGTTATTTTTATAACTTTCAGCGGTTTGCATCTAATTAGTTTAATCAAAAAGATTTAAATTATCAATAATATGTATATAAATATGATTTGATGAAAATTTTAAAAGGTAGTTATAAAAGGTTTTAAGCGAAAAAATTGTCAGGACCACGTTGTTTGAACAAAGTACAAGTGTGTGGATGTGCGCAGTTGTGAGATTTAATTATGCATCCAAATTCTTCAAAAATACTAAAACTATCATTGATACCTTTATCTAACGTTCATTTCAAGTATTTTCTTGAGGAAATAATGTTGGAGGGAGCTACTTTAACTCGATTGTGCTTTTTAAACGTACACAGATTTTTCGTATCCATCTCTGGTCCGTGCTTTACCATTGTAAAGTCAACATCCGGTATTAGAAAATGTACATTCAAAAACAAAAGTAAAGATTTTGACAGGGATGATTTTGACAACGTAATTTTGCACAAATAAAGATTCTAAGGCTGATATTAGTACGCTAATGTTGCACACTTCGAATGATGCACTGTCAATTTAACAGTTTACATCAGTACAGCGAATTTGTATCAAAAGTCAAGTTTAATATCGTTTTATGTCAATGATTCATTGTTTATATGATGCCCAGCTGATTAGCATGATTGCCTTTTGTTACGTAGACTTAAGGGATCAAAATTGGGATAAGACGAAAAATGTCTGGCTGGCACAAATATTTTTTGGAAGCCCTGGTCAAAAGCTTTGTTGCAAGGGGTATATTAATCCTAAATATTCTTGTAATATTTGACACTTTGCAATTTAGCAAAATGCAATCAATTAAAAATATTCATATACTATTAGTTGTTTTGATGAAAGATAAATTATATAAGCATTCATGATTTGTTATGTGATGTGAAACTTTTGTGATAGTATCCATATACTACTTATTCTCCTGAAAATGTATTTCTAAATAATAAAAGACAAACCTCTCTCCAGGCTTCTGCCACAACTTTATGTAGTTCATACTGATAAAGTACAAGTAATCCTTCACATGTGTTATATAGCTGTCTACAGATATAGAGGAATGCTCCAATCACAGCCTGGGAGGGCTTTGGTCCAGACTGTTTTGGAAGTTTGTCAAGTAATGCCCTCTTTGTAAACCTTGCTATCACATGGGCAGCAGATGATCTGTTAAAATACAAATAATTTTAGACAATATAGGCTGATAAAACTAAAAGATGCCTTATCAGAATAGTAAATAAACAGCTGCGCCATGAGGTCATGATAAGGCCCGTCGTCTTGTGTGTGAATTTTTATGCAATAAGCATAAATAGTTTTTGACATACGGCGTGACATGCGAAAACCCCCTTTTTTTTTTACAAAAAACTCAATACCTCTAAAATAAAATTTTGAATCAAAACCAAAAAGTATACAGATCTTTAGATTAATATAACTAAGAAGTGTGTAAAATTTTAAGCAATAATCATAAATCGTTTTTGAGATAAGGCGTGACATGTGAAAACCCCCCTTTTAAAATAAAAAAATTAGTATCTCAAAAATAAAATTTTGAATCAAAACCAAAAAATATACAGATCTTTAGATTAATATAACTTAGAAGTGTGTAAAATTTTAAGCAATAATCATAAATCGTTTTTGAGATACGGCGCGACATGTGAAAAAACCCTCCCCCTTTTTTTACAAAATACTCAATATTTCTAAAATAAAATTTTGAATCATCACCAAAAAGTATACAGATCTTAAGATTAATATAACTAAGAAGTGTGTAAAGTTTTAAGCAATAATCATACAACTGTTTTTGAGATACGGCGCGACATGTGAAAAAAAACACACACCTGTTTTAGTTACTAAGTCCCGTAACTCAAAAAGTTTTAATCTTATTTTCACCAAAAAGTATACAGATCATTTGACCATCATAAGAAACAACTATGTTAAGTTTCATGAAATTTGGATAAGTCATTCTCAAGTTACGGTGCGACATGTTTACGCCGGACAGACAGACGGACAGACAATGGACATTTGTATACCATAATACGTCCCGTCAAAAATTGACGGGCGTATAAAAACCATGCAGTTATATAGAAATGAGATCAAAAGTCTTTCCCCTCATGAATATCTTAATTCACAAGAACAGTAGTGAAACTTGTGGCATCCATATGAAGGGCAATGTCATCTGTTGTTTTGTGTGGTTACAATTTGTTTCAAGATACTGTGGATTCATTTATTTTCGTGGGTACCAATTTTCGTGGATTGAAAAAAACTTGCATTTTCGTGGATATTTAATTTCGTGGTTTCGGCAAAGTCTGCATATTTCCTTTAGGAAATTTGTAATTCGTTGAACATTTAAATTCGTGGTTCCCCTATACCCACGAAATCCACGAAAATTGGTATCCAACGAATATTAATGAATCCACAGTAGACAAATTGGAAATGAAAGAAAAATTCTTTTCAAACACAGCATTCCTGGAGTAGATTTGTTTTTTTGTGGCAAATATTTAAGGTATGGTATCAACTCTTGTTGACATAAAATGAAAATTCTAAAATGTTTACAAGAGGGTATTACTGGTTGAAGATTAATATTCTTAGAACTGATGTCAATATTTATCTTATGCCATTTTTAACTTTTCATTCTGTTTGTAATAAACTTACACATTTGGTTTAGTAAACATATCTTTCCTTTCACCATACATCAAGTGTCGTCTGCCTCTAGTACTTGATGCCACCATGGCAAACAGATCAGCCACATGTAACATTGTGTTCTCACTAGGTGCATAGTTATGCTTCTAACAACAAAACAAAGAGAAAGTAGGATGTGATTTCACATATTCTTTATTGAGGTAAAAATAATCTTACTTTCACATGCATATGTTTAACATACCAAGGGCTATGTATGCCTGTAATATAATCCACTGGATGTCAAGCAAACAAAAATCAATTAATTTTATAGTCATATTGAATACTCTTTGAATTATATAAAACAATGTTTTGTTAGCAAATAACATCTATACAATATCTGTATGCAGACTGAGAGCTGGGGGACTAACATCTAGTCAAAAACATTTCAAATCTTTTTACGATGATAACAAAATAACTCTATATCTATAAAAGATAAGTGAACCTGAAGAATAGCTGAATATAAATAATTCTACTTCCACAAGAAAGCCATTGTGTTTCAGATAAGGTCTAGAATTCAGCCTGAAAAGTGGACTTTCAGACCCCCACCCCCTGTTAATTGATGCTCAAATCCTACATCATGCAAATACCCTGGAATGCTTCCAACACATTCCTTTAATTGTTACATTTCCATTAAGACCAGATACAACTACATATAATTATACATGGATCTTGTTAAACCAAATAGGTGATAATTTAGCAAAAATAAACATTACTGTAAAAGAACAAATGATATATGTTGGTGAAAGAATATTTCTTGAGACTAATATTTCTTCCTTTCGATATTTATCAAACACATCTGCCTTGAAGAACAAATATCTGAATATAGGAGAGCAATTAACATTAATAAGATTTTGTCCACTCATTGATTTGGAACGGAACCATTCAGTTAAATATAATGTATGCAATTGTCGTGTTTTTAACAAACCTTTTTTATAGTTTGACAAAAAGGTTTGGTTGGGGAATATAAATAACCTTTTTTAGACATGCAATTTTCCAAATTTAAAGAATATTGCATTTTTTAATTTTCAAATGATAATGAAATATGATGATACAATATTAGAAGTACCAACCTTTGGTTCTAAGTAATGCGATACAGGAGCCAGATTTATGATGATACAATATTAGAAATACTAACCTTTGGTTCTAAGTAATGTGATACAGGAGCCAGATATATGATGATACAATATTAGAAATACTAACCTTTGGTTCTAAGTAATGTGATACAGGAGCCAGATATATGATGATACAATATTAGAAATACTAACCTTTGGTTCTAAGTAATGTGATACAGAAGCCAGATATATAATGATACAATATTAGAAGTACCAACCTTTGATGCGATACAGGAGCCAGATATATGATGATACAATATTTGAAGTACCAACCTTTGGTTCTAAGTAATGCGATACAGGAGCCAGATATATGATGATACAATATTAGAAGTACCAACCTTTGGTTCTAAGTAATGCGATACAGGAGCCAGATATATGATGATACAATATTAGAAGTACCAACCTTTGGTTCTAAGTAATGTGATACAGGAGCCAGATATATGATGATACAATATTAGAAGTACCAACCTAATGTGATACAGGAGCCAGATATATGATGATACAATATTAGAAGTACCAACCTTTGGTTCTAAGTAATGTGATACAGGAGCCAGATATATGATGATACAATATTAGAAGTACCAACCTTTGGTTCTAAGTAATGTGATACAGGAGCCAGATATATGATGATACAATATTAGAAGTACCAACCTTTGGTTCTAAGTAATGTGATACAGGAGCCAGATATATGATGATACAATATTAGAAGTACCAACCTTTGGTTCTAAGTAATGTGATACAGGAGCCAGATATATGATGATACAATATTAGAAGTACCAACCTAATGTGATACAGGAGCCAGATATATGATGATACAATATTAGAAGTACCAACCTTTGGTTCTAAGTAATGTGATACAGGAGCCAGATATATGATGATACAATATTAGAAGTACCAACCTTTGGTTCTAAGTAATGCGATACAGGAGCCAGTAAAGCTGTTATTATCTCATCTTTATACATACATATCTCACACACTTGCTCTGAATTACATATTCCTTTTACAATCTCTGTCACTAAATTACCTGGCTCATATACAACTAAAAGAATAAAAGAAAGCATATTACACTGTGTATAATGTATGATAAGGTTACCTTTTAGCCCTTGCTCTAATAAGGGGTTAAAAATCTATCTCATATCAATATTTATTATTTATGTGAAAGAATTCAAGATTTATTACTTTCAATTCCTTTTTCTGTAGGTAGATAAGAGATGCGGGAAAATTCCTAAATGAATGTCCATTGTTAATTTGCGCAACCATATATCATAAATATTAGAATCTTATAAATCTTTTAACAGTGTTTTAAGCTTTGAAATTACCCTGCCTCTAAATTGCTCATATAACTATAGCAATATAGAGGCAGAGTAGTTAAGTTCTACTAACAAACAGTATAAAGGATAGAGTGTGAACTCATGCGATGTCAAATCACTTTTCAAACATGATATTGTTCAATTTTAAATCAAGCAAACCAGGGGTCAGCATCACTGACATTGGCACTTTATACTGGCATACCATTTTATTACTAACAGAATAGCATATGGAATGTCAGGTTCTATCATATATCAAATTCCAAGTGGAAAATATCTACCATTTCCTCAACATAACATTCTCGCTGACTAGGAACTATACACAAGCTATTATGATACATCCAGACACATACTATTGTTGGGTGTTATTTTTTATTGACAATAGCATATTTTTCATGCAATTGGGATTTATTTATTATTTCAATAAAACATAATTAAGTAGATGAAATATTGCTTGTATTCTGATTTAGCATGAATTTGTACCTGATAAATGTTTAGATGGAGATGGATCAACAAGCAGTACAACCATGGATACAAGTAATTTAGTCACTGTTACTGTTTCTGAAATTAAAAATAGGAAAATTTTAAAAATAAATTTGAATTTAAAACTATACAGTGATGATTTTTAATCCTGTTAATAAGAACCAACTTAAAAACATATGTATTAAGCAAGAAAAAGTTACAAATTCAAATAGCAAAGAATTTTTCATCTATTAATTTGCAGATTTATTCCTTTTTAAAAGTGTAACCTTTTTTTTTTAAGTTTAATGCAAAGAAATAACTGTATGGTCAGATCCTACTTTGTTTTTTTCATTATACTGTGGATTCATTAATTTTCGTGGGTACCAATTTTTGTGGATTGAGAAAAACTTGCATTTTCGTGGATATTTGATTTCGTGGATTTGCCAAAGTCTGCATACAAACTTATTGAAAATGTGTTATTCGTTATTTAAAATCGTGGTTTACCTGTACCAACAAAATCCAGGAAAATTGGTACCAACGAATAATAATGAATCCACAGTAAATTGTATTACATTTAAAAAAAAAATCCCCATACTTTTATGTTATCCACAATTCTATGCAGAAAAATAACACTCTGAATCATTGTTGCACCGAGTTCTAAAATCACATCAAAATTGAAATCGTAAAATCAGTGTTATTTCTTTTTTATAAACAGGAAACCATAAAAAATTATATTTTAAAGCACTTCAACAAGGTTTATGTTAATTGACAAGAATCAAACAGTTCATCACAACTCTATTTTACTTATTAGCTAACTATTTACTACCAGATAGTTTTTCGTGATGAAATAAACAGAAGAATGGCACTAGAAGAATGGCACTATACACATTTTTATTTACCATCTGCTTCCTTTAATTTGATAGGGAAAAACCTCCTTCCATTCACAAAGCACATCATCCTACCAAGCATAAAGGCAGAGTGAACAAAGAAAGCATACTCCAGCTCAGCTTCTGTGTAATAACTTCTTCTGTTCTCTGGAAATAATTATCACAAATATTGTACAAAAGAAAACATTTTCAGTAAAATACATATGCTTATTCAATAAATAAAGTCATATTTAAAATGCAAATACAACTGTGGTAGCTTAAGCTCATATCAATAAATTGCCAAATGACCATTGACAATATGAAAATTGGCCTGTTGACTTATACTATGGCTTCAGGTCTGTCTTTAAGTCAGCTAAGCTTGTCAAATCACCATTGACCATATGAACTTTGACCTGTTGACTTACACTAATCTATAGCTCTGGCTTCAGATCAATCTGATAAATCAGCTACGCTTGTCAAATGACCATTGATCATATGAACTTTGACCTGTTAATTTATACTAACCTATAGCTCTGGCTTCAGATCTGTCTGTTAGGTCAGCAGAATGTTTTCTGTGTAGGGAAAACTCCAGACAATGTCGTATGGCATTCGTTACCTGAAACATACAATCTCAATGACAATCTGACAACATATTTTTATCTTTTGTATTAGATTTTTTTTACTAGAAATTTAAAAAGTATTACCAGAGATCCTTGCAACTCATCAGGATGACTCCTTAACTTATCAATTTCATCTGAAACTCATTAAAACATTTTAAATTATGTTCTGAATAATAGGTGATTAACTCAAATTTTGAATTGGCATCTGACTCTAATAAATCCATGTTTCTTTGTCAAATAGACAAGGGATTATCACATGAAATAAGTAAATTGCATCAAAAAAATGTTCTGTCTCTTGAAAATGATATCTAGGTTTTCTGTTTTATACAAGATAAAATATAATATCTTGGTTGAGCGTTTCGTACAAGATAAAGTTTTCTGTTTTATGCAAGATAAAATATGATATCTTTGGATTTCTGTTTTATGCAAGATAAAATATGATATCTTTGGTTTTCTGTTTTATACAAGATAAAATATATTATTATACTTCATGTCAAAATGCCAGATTTTGATTGGTTAATACAAGGGAGACAATTTTCTCTATCCCATGGCAAATACTCTATTACCCTTCACGGGGACGCTTGATCAAGTGTGTGCTTTAATAAATATGGATGTTTGTTATGTACAAGACGTCATAGTTTATTACTTTGAATTTGAAATTTAATAGACAGTAATAACAGAACATTCAGTATAATAAATTAAATAACACATATCTGAGAGGGTGATAGAGCAGATTGTTACCCCTCGAAAATACATTGTCAACCTTGGCTTCGCCTCAGTTGACAATGTTTTCCCGGGGTAACAATCTGCTCTATCACCCTCTCAGATATGTGCCCAATGAGTTAATGACTCAATAGATATGAGATCATGATAAATACACATTATCCTGCTCAATGAGTTAATGACTCAATAGATATGAGATGTTGATAAATACACATTACCCTGCTCAATGAGTTAATGAATGTATCAACTATTAGATAATACTTACTATTGGTCTGTATTTCTCTAACATTCGAAGAAGACATTGTCTACTGTAGTTTCCATGCTGAAAAATATACAGTCATTACTATGGATACAGCTTGTTTATAAACAAATACATATCAAAAAACCAACAAACTAATAAACAAACATGTACTGAAAAAACAAGTTTGATCCTTTAATATGTTAATATGCCTTAGGAGTAGTTGTCGTTAGTTATATTTTTTACCTATATGTTGTAAAATATTTGGTTAATAAAGAACTGAATAGTGGTGGTGGCAGATTTTTTTACTTCCTGTCAATTTTTTCGCATCTTGTTTCGACAGCATATTTAGAGCTACATATACAGTAAAAACACCTGTCCAGAAGACTGTATGATAACTTCTAAATGTCATTTGTAGTTTTATTGTGTTGTTTGGTTGCTGTACCTTTGACATCTACCCCACATCTGCTTGTATTCACAACATTAAAGTATGTTTTCTTCATATACACTTCAGTTTTAACATGAAAACAATATGTTTGTCATTTCTTTTACTGCAATTATTCACTGAAGATATATCAGACTTTAGTGAACCCTAAATTCATTGGGAGGTTTTACCAAGCTTCAAAAACAAATGTGACAACAAAATTAAATCGACAGTATAATAATTAAAGAGCATTTTCTTTTTTCCACTTAAAAAATGAGGGATTTAAAAAAAATCCAATTATTACATACCATCCATTTGATGAACCACTGTGCCTTTGGGTCTATTAAGGCTATAAAATGTACTGGTGATAACTGAACTGAAGCTCCACCTTGACTCCCATTCTGATTTATGGCATATAAGGTTAATGTACTCTCAATTATCTCTTCCAAATATCTGAAAAATAATTATGTCCGTTTATCATCATGGAAATCAAGAATTTAAAATGAAATGGCTAAAAATATTCATATCTGCTACTGATTATTACATGTATATAGAAAGAAGTTTATCATATAGCTTTTGACTGTTCTCTGTTTCATATTTTCATTTTCAAATCCATATATTTTTAATAAGGTCACAATTAATAAATATTACAAAATACAATGATTTTTGTCTTTAATTCTTTAAACATAAAACTAACATGGCCAAACTAATCCTATATATTTATATATGTGTGTACCAAAAGTGATTTATTCATCACCCTTTTGACTTTGATCAATTAAAACATCACATGTTCATACTTAAAAATCAAATGTCAAATAAGAAAAAACCTTATCTAGACATCAGCTGTTTTGTTTTGTCATTAGACTGACATGAGATACAGATGTAAAACTCTAAATAAAAAGTTGGCTATTTCCAAATTTTACGATTTCCTTCTTTGTCAATAATTGTATGAAAATTATAAATTACTAACCTGTTAGGATATATTATCCACATACTTGATAGGATATTGTATCCACTTACCTGTCAGGATATCTTATCCAATAATTTATGGTTTCTTGTTGGAACTCATTCAATAAACGGAACTAAAATATAAATACATTATCTTCTTGCAATGTACTAAAGCATACATCTAAATAAAAAGCTCTTTCAGATTATCTATATAACATACAGTTCAAAAATAAAATTAAATTAAAGGGATAAGAAATTCTTTTCAAAAATATTTAACAATTAATTTAATGCTTTTAAGTTATTAAGTTGGCAACCATTGTGTTCCAAAATCAAAATAACTGAAAAGGCTTTCATCTTAAGCAACAGTATCAAAAAGATCATTTTGTCATCTTTCTTGTATATTTGTATAACTTATGGTTGCTATCAAATTTTTCTTTACTAAAGACATGTCAGGGATGAAATATGAGTAGTCGTTTGTGTAGTCTGGTTTTGGTCACCATGATTAGATTATAAGTGACAACATCGACATTATGATAAAGGTCAAGATTATCAATAGTAAGAAAATATCATATCCTGTATAAGTGTTCTTGGCTTATTACTGTGGATTCATTGATTTTCGTTAGTACCAATTTTCGTGGATTGAGAAAAAAATGTATTTTCATGGATATTTGATTTTGTGGTTTTGCCAAAGTCTGCATACAAACTTATAAACTTATAAAACTTATAAAAAATTTGTACTTCGTTGAACATTTAAATTCATGGTGTACCTTTTCCCACAAAATCCATGAAAATTGATATCTCATGAATAATAATGTAAAACAGTAATTGAAAGTTGTAATTATATAAACACAATTGGATGCACATTATTCTATTTTGTTTCATTATCCTTTTTATTTCAGGGTCCATATTTTGATGTTGTTCATTTTTCATCAAGTTTGTTTTATTTCTGATTCTGGCTTCAAAACTATGCCTGTACTGCGTTACTTAGTTGTATAGAAAGATGTATGACAATTTATACTCAAGACATAAAATTATTTCACAGTTCATACGCAATTAATTTTTGCCTAAAATACTTACAGCTTTCATTAATTTGACATTTTCAGGATTGGTGAAGTCTAATCCACTCTTTATATTTGGTATGGTGTTTCCCTTCTTTGTATTGAACTGGGAAATCAAGTATTCAACTGTCAAAGAAAAATACAATTGCTATTACATGTGTAGGAAACTTCCAAAAGTTTATTTCATCATACTGTTCCAATGCTGAAATCTTCAAGATAAACAAAATAAAAGGGAAATATTTCTAATAATCTTACTTTATATCAGGTTATTTTTTTGCATGGTTTTGTTCACATATTGGGCTCAAAAAGCCAGTTAATCTTTAATTAAGTTCATTATTCATATTTCAGAGCTTTGTACAGTGCAGTTAAAAGGGCAGTAAAATATTCATGTAGGGTAAATTTCACAGTAGAATGTGTTCCGCAAAAAATTGGACAATAAGAAAAGATATAAAGTATGTTGATGAAAAAGGGAGTTGCAGATCTTTCACTGCTTCAGGGGAGCCAATAGAATTTACATTGATTGTAATTTTTAGTGAGATCTTTGAAAATCACAACATTTAAAATACCAATAGGTTTCTGTGAATTTTATTGGGAAAAAAAGTAGTTGAATATTGAGACTTTCAAATTTTCTAAAACTGACATTTTCTAGCAATTAATTTTAGATTAAAACTCTGATTAAAAATGCATAAAGTCAAATAATGAAATTTAATGACAGCAACACTGTTTCATTTCAAAAACATGATTGAACAAGCTATTGCCCAATAATGATAACTATCTGGTAAAAAACAGGAATGGATGTAAAAACTCATTACACAGTGGAGTATGTTCACATGAAGCTTGATTACACATTTTTGATTTGTAGTTCCTAAGAAAAATGTGATAAAAACTGTATTACTTCCCCTTAACTTGACTTCATTAAACTATTTATGAATTACTAATACCTACCTAATAATGTATAGACTTCTCTTGTCTGTGGTGATGTGTTGGTGAAAGCTCTTGTTATAAATTTGGTACTCAAATGCTGAAATCAAAACAATATATAAGTAACTAACATATTACCAGTAGTTTTACATTGTAGAATTCACTTCTTATCTGTTAAAATATACAATATTCTTTTTTTTTAACCTATGCTGTACTATTCAAAAATGAATATGTTTTTAGTAGCAAAATTTCTAATTTCTTCATTTTTTACAGAGAAATCAAGTTTATCCATTGTCTTCATTTTAACAATTTTAAAAACATCTAAAGCCTAATGTTTTCTAGTGTATTATCTAAATTCCTGAGACAGCAATTTCATGTTGAAATGAACTGCAAACTTAAAAAATAAGACATAAATGCATAAGCATCATGTATGTCTTTACTGTAAAGAGTAAATAACTCAAATACTCCCAAAAAGTTGTAATTTTTTAAGTTAATATATTTCAGGTAAAGAGATTTGCAAAATTAATTAAAGGATCTCTTGATCCTTTTTCTTTTTGATTAAAGTGTAAAATATTGTTGTATTTCAGTATAATGCTCATACCATTATTTGTACATTGGATTCATCCAGAGCGTCTATGAGATGACGTTTCATTGTTGGCCAATGATCACTACTGATAAAGTCTGCTGGTAAGTTCTGATTAAGAGTCTGCAATGCTTCTACTCGTACCTACAATAAAAGTTTAAGTCAGTTAACATTTACACATCATGCAATCACATATTATGTTTTTTTATACAGAAATCATATGCCAATGATAGATTGGAAATCAAAAATCTCAAGACATTATAAGGAAAGGTATTTTCCACAGAATGTAAATACATTGTTTTGTGTGTTGTATTACTACTTACAAAATGTCCTACCAAATTTAATTTCCTTTTTTCTTATTCTGCTTTTTCAGCAAATGATAGATAAGGATTTTGATGCTTATCATTTCCTTCATGTATTTGTCAATATTTCAAAAGTTAATGTCAAAATGGCAACATTATAAATAAAAAATTGGAAACTTATGCATTTTTAGAAATAAGCAAAGCTGCATATTCGTCAATTATATTACACAAAATCATAAGTGATGTTTTACATAGTATTATTTTCATAAAGAGTCCTAGAATCTTACCACATTATCTCTGTGTCGACTCATCTTCTCTGCAACTTGCTGCATTATTTCATGGTTGTTGAAAAACATACCCTAGAAAATATTATAATGTTAATTTATATTATACAAATAAGGTTATTGACACTAAAAGTCAACCATTTAATAAGGTGATGAGTTTATTCTTAATTATTCTATTGCATCTCCCCCCTTTGCCTTCAATTTAAAATGTTCTGATACATTGTCAAAATTTCAAGTTAGGTAACTTCCATCTGAGGAGTATTTTAAGATAAGTGTTGTTCTTTACATTGCAATTAATTATCACCTTATATCTGATGTCTTTTTATTTTAAGAAAATGAAAGTAATTCAGAAAAAAAACATATGTTACCTGACCAAAAGAACTCCCACAAGATTCATCATCTTCATCACTCATGTAAGACCTCCGTATCTGATGATCTGAGGTCTCATGATGACTATTACCACCGAACTCAGCATCAAAGTTTCGTATCAATTCATCAACAGCACCTTGAACATTAACTCGTAACTTCTTTGACAAGTCATTATAACTGGAAAACAGTTTTATCAGGAGGTTTTATTCAATAGTTATAACATGTTTTTTGTTCAAAATAAATGTTGTTAAATAGATTAGACACAAGCTTTTCCACATAAATGTTATAAAATTTAATGATTAAATAAAAAAATTATTCCAACTAAGTCATTTTCAGACAGCTTAATGCAATACCTTTTAATGTTATACCCAGACCCCTTTTTCCATCTGATCTTGTCACTCTCTCATATGTTATGCCCTTTTTACGGCAAAAAAAATTCAGGCTATTGACTATTGTTTTATTTTTGGTTTTGGCAGTCAAAATAAAAGGACAACTTTAACTATTTGTATAACTGAATCACTTCACATGACAGCTTTGGTATCAACATATCGTAAATAAACTTCTCATATACTTTAAAAGAGAGGCAAAAGATGCCAAAGGGACATTCAAACTCATAAGTTGAAAACAAACCGACAATACTGTGGCAAAAAAACAAAAGACAAACAGTACACAAAAACAACATAGGTCTAAAGACAGAGCAACATAAACCCCACCAAAAACCAGGGGTTATTTCAGGTGCTCCTTAATTCAGTCAATCACAATCAAGAAGAGAAAGGGATTGTGGTTAAGACAATTGGAACTATCTGTCGCCATCAGTGAAACAGATATTCCAAAACGATTAACCAATTCGTGATTTAAGTTATATATACATCTAACACAGCTAGAAATATGATATATATCTAATCATAAGAATTGTTCATTTGACAAAACCTTGTCCTTTAATAGATTAGTACCCTTGCCCTTTCCAAATCCCAGCTGGAACATTATAAAAAAAAATCTGAATTAGAAATAACATCCGCATCATTCAGAATAAATTCTTTTTTAAGGCAATTGTACCCTATGTAATGAGCAGTATTTTTCATTTTACATGAAAATTTCTATAAGAACTCTTGAACTGAATTTGAAAAAATGATATACCAGGTATGTAGCATTTATCCTTTCAGATATTCAGTTAAAAAAAAAGTCATTAATCATAAAAATATTGCATATACATAAATATGTATGTAACCAAATATTTTAAATTTCTTTTTTCTTGTCTGCCTATTGAGTTTACTACATGTACATACTGTCTTGAGTGAAGTATCTTATCTGTAATTTTGTTGATGAGTGTCTCTTGTCCATTGGAATCATGTATACTAGATTCAAATCTTTCTATTTCTTCTTCTGCTAGTGGACCAATAATATCTTCTAGTTTTCTTCTTAACACCTTAACAAATTCATGTCTGTAAAATAAATTTCTTAATTAAAAGCCTATTTTGAAAATTAGTTTCTTGTCAAAACAAAATAATTGAAATAAAAGTAAGCATTGTAAGTGAAATGTATCAAACGTTAAATATGAACAATAAATTATAAACCAAATGTATATGTATATGTATATTCATAATCATTTCACTGTTTCACATATTATAAATATAACTGTTAACACAGAGATATGTCTCACCTTTCTGAATTTTGATAATTCAAATGTTGAAATTAAAATAGCAATACTTTAACATGTAAGTTATGCAAATATTCAAAGTCAATGAACCATGACTGAAGGTACATGGCTAAACAATCTCCATGGAAATGAGATGTGCCAATGCTAATACAACTGCATACCAAATACCATTGACTTATCATAAGTCTTTCCCTTTAAACAGACCTAAACACAAACATTAACTTGTAAACTATGTAAAAGTTTCAAAGTCAATGAACCATGATGAGGGGGTGGGGTTATATAATCTCCATGGAAACGAGACTTGCAAATGCCAATAAATTTGCATACCAAATATCATTGACTTAACATTAGCGGTTCATCTTAAACTGATCTAATCACAGACTAATACATGTAAACTAAGCAAAAGTTTCAAAGTCAATAGACCATGACTGAGGGGGCAGGGCCAAATATTCTCCATGGAAATGAGATGTCCTAATGCTTATACAACTGCATACCAATTAACATTGGCCTACCACTAATGGTTCCCCTTGAACTGAACTAATCACAAACTAATACATTAAAACTAAGCAAAAGTTTCAAAGTCAATAGACCATGACTGAGGGGGCGGAGCCAAATAATCTCCATCGAAATGAGATATGCCAATGCTTATACAACTGCATACCAAATATTATTGACCTACCACTAGTGGTTCCCCATAAATTGACCTAATCACAAACTAATACATGTAAACTAAGCACAAGTTTTAAAGTCAATAGACCATGACTGACGTGGCAGGGCCAAATAATCTCCATGGAAATGAGATGTGCCAATGCTTATACAACTGCATACCAAATATCATTGACCTACCACTAGTGGTTCACCATAAACTAGACCTAATCACAAACTAATACATTGTTGACACAGCCACTGACGCAGGAAACAGCATACATGTACCTATGTCTCGCTATTTGACTCCGTCAACGCAGACAATAAACTGTAATGTTTCTTCAGGAATAATTTAATAACTTAATATAATACACATTCATTCACAATGTACAGGTATTTATATGTGTGCCTTTTATGTTAATTTAATTATTCTATAGAAATCACAATGCAAACCTTCTGTATATATTTCATGGTTTCATTAAAATCAATTGGAAACTCATTTCATTGAGAGCATTAAAAATACAGTTTTTTTTTGAGCTGATAGTACAAAATGATATTACAAAGAAATTATGTGTCCATATCTTACATAGAATGGCGAACGTAGATACAAGTATCTTGTCTTGGGGAGGGATAAATCCTACTTTGTAAAGAATCACTCTGATTCAAACAAAAAATTCTCTGAAACTGACATTATCAAGATGCTTGATTTCTTGATTGACAACATATTTGTTATGTTTGGAGGACGTGTTTTTCAACAGACTGTCAGAATTCCAATGGGAACCAATTGTGCCCCTCTTCTTGCCGACTTGTTTCTTTATTATTTTGAGGTTGACTTCATACAGGAACTTCTTAGGAAGAAAAATAAGAAGTTAGCAATATCCTTTAACACTACGTTCCGCTATATAGATGATGTTCTCTCACTAAATACATGTAATACAAAATTTGGTGACTATGTTGAACGAATCTATACCATCAAACTAGAGATAAAGGATACTACAGATACAGTTAAGTCTGCCTCATATCTTGACTTACATCTAGAAATTGACAATGAGGGTCGGTTCAAAACAAAACTTTACGACAAAAGAGATGATTTCAGCTTCCCAATTGTGAACTTTCCATTTCTATGTAGCAACATTCCAGCATCACCTGCATACGGAGTATATATCTCCCAATTGATACGATATTCCTGGGCTTGTGTTTCCTATCATGATTTCCTTGATAGAGGATTGCTGCTCACAAGAAAGCTATTAAACCAAGAGTTCCAAATGGTGAAGTTGAAATCATCCCTTCGTAAATTTTACGGACGCCATCACAAGTTGGTTGACCGTTATGGAATAACCGTTTCACAGATGATATCAGATATGTTCCTTATGTCGTAACTACAATACCCTTCCCTTTTCACGAATGTGACTTACCGAATTAGACTATTTACCGGATTTATAATAACATAAGTAACACGACTGGTGCCACATATGGAGCAGGATTTGCTTACCCTTCCAGAGCACCTGGGATCACCCCAGTTTTTGGTGGGGTTCGTGTTGCTAAGTCTTTAGTTTCTATGTTGTGTCATCTGTACTATTATTTGTCTGTTTGTCTTTTTATTTTTGGCGATGGCGTTGTCAGTTTGTTTTCGATCTATGAGTTTGACTGTCCCTCTGGTATCTTTCGTCCCTCTTTTACATAAATTAGCTGTGTATAAGATAGATAACCAAAGTAAGAAAACTGGGGAAACAGTCAGACTAATCCACCTAACTTTATAAACTTATTTTAGTTAGCAGATATAAGGATCAGGTACCACAACCCATTTTCTGCATCCATTACTATTTAGACTAAGCTAATGTCAAGAAAATAAGTAACCTTATGATGTCTGACTAGTTATAGATTCATCAATTTTCTGTTGTGTAACACACTATTCTATTTTTTATTGTTGCAACCTTCTTTTCTTTATGGTCCAAACCCATATAGAGCTACACTAAACTAACGTTATCCTTACCCTAACACTAGCCTAACCCTTGCCATAAACTAATCCGTAACCCTAAAATATATGGACCCTTTATGTAAAAGAGGGTCTAAAAATCAATGTTTTAGACGTTATCAAAATTCCCAATAAGTATATCTGACCTATGGAAATGTTCATCATTTTCCTCAAGATGATACAAAGCTTCTTCTGATTGGTCAACAGTTCCAGCTTCCCTTATCTGAGGTTCAAAACTAATGACCAATTGTCTCAGATTCTGTACCAAATCTTCACCTTCCAAACCTTTCCAAGACATAATCTAAATAGTGTGTCTACTCTGCAAAAACAAATATATATTTATTGAAATAAAAGTTTCAAATTCATGATGTATAGAGATATTCAAGAATGACTTAAAACTATTGTTTTCCATGGTAAAGTTTGTAATATAATAAAGCTAATTTCAAGGATAAGCTTTTCAGTACTACACGGTTTATTTATACCTTGTCTGGATGTGTCCTGCATTGCCATGATAATTTGATGCTCAAAGAGCCTGTTATTTTCTCTTAATTTCAGATTCAAATTATTTTTCTAATATCCAAATTTACACAAAAACTTCCTTAATGTACAAAGTGCCCATTGTCTAGTTTAAAATGTATCAACTCCCCCCTCCCTTTTGCCTTTAAAAAAATATCAATTAAGTGTAGTTTTTGGTCTTAAGGTAGTTAATATAAGAGGTAAAAGGACAGAAAGTCACAAAGTTGGTAGGAGAAAAGTCATAGGATAAAAAGTCACAAATTAGATTTGATAGAACAAAAAGTCACAAATTAGATTTGATAGAACAAAAAGTCACAAATTAGATTTGATAGAACAAAAAGTCACAATTAATAAATTACCAATACCGGTAGTTTGAATGTTTAATGAATAATTGGAGAAATAATTATATTTTATAAAATAAATTTAATTTAAGTTAAGGAAATTGCTCATTTGCATTTTCAAATTATCATATGCCTTATCAAATATCAATACATAAAATTTATATTTTTGGAATCATGAAGCAAGTCAGTTAAAAAGTTAAAACATTCATTTTCTGAGGAATCAATAAAAAAAAAAACGTTAATCAGGTATCCAGAAATTTGCCAAACTTTAATTTATCGTCTTTTAACAATTGCAAATCTGTTCACAATCTAAAATAAGTATTGTATCCCAAATGGGTTTATAATATATTATATCCCATTTATATGAATTGTCCCCTCTTGATATCGACATGTTTAATAACTAAACATCTTCTCTGAATGTGGTTACAATTTTTTAATATATATGTTAGTTACTTTTACTAATTACGGTTTTATGTAATTGTGTGCTAAATATACACAGTGCATTGCTAGATGTTCCCTTAATGTGATGCTCTGGAGTGTGAAATAGTGAGCACTATTTTGCTGAGTTGAAAGTTTATTAAACGTTTTTGGCATCAAAACCTTCTGATCCATGATTTGACAATAACATTACATTTTATCGTCAATGCAGGTATTTATCTTTAATCACACTAATGGCAAAAACAGAAGCCAAACCAAGCACTTTATATCCTATCACCTGTTGACTGTTCAATAAAACTATAATCACTTGTTATTTAGCTTAAGGGACACAATCGTGAGCGTTTGTAGACAAATGTAGTAAAAACGACTTCTGACAATTTTCATTCTTTTAATGTTTGATACACAGGATTTTTATTTCTTCACAGGAGAGCGGAAGGAGACACTTGAAAACTGGACAGACAGAAGTTTCACATGTATGTTTATTTTACTCAAAACAACATATGATAGACAGTGTTCCAGCTAGGATTTCAAAAGGGCAGGGTGCCAATCCTGAAAAAGGGCATTTAACGCGTGATATGATAATATGAAAGGGCATGTTTTAATAAAGATTATAATCAAACATTGTTTGTTCATTGAATCACTGGTTATAAATATACAAGAACAACATCATTAGCCCAGAGAAAAACTATCTTTCTACTTTTTAGGCTGAAAACTTATCAAGCAGCTTGTGACACAAGTTTTAAATCATTGCTTGGCACAGTTAAGCTTTATATGCAGTATTTTTTGAAAAATGTCCTGCTTCATTCTGTTTCTATGGTCTGACACACTTTACAAGTTTCACCTGTCTATCTTTTCTGTGCTTAATGGCAATACAGCACAAAACAGCTGTAAATGCACAATGTTAGGATATAGTGAACAGTGAAAATTTGGATTGAAAATAAAAAATACAGAAAAAGATGACCAAGGCACCCTACCAACCCTGCTACTAAGACCCTCTTTAACTTTTCCCATAACTCAAAACACCTAAACATATATAAATTCTAAAGCCAGAAGTATGAAGACATATCTTATAATATCTTAGTAGGTTACTCAATGCTAGGAAAAAATAAGATTGAGTTATCTTTCTTTATTTGGGTGTGCTCCTTCTTTGGAGGATAATAAACAGTACGTAGAAGATGTAAATACGATCAACAATATGGCGGCCGATTTTGTTATTTTCGTATAAAAAATGAAGGCAGTCAATGAAAAATATGTATTAATTTGCTATTTATTTCACGGAAAACAATAAGAGCAATGTTTTTAAAGAGTTGATTATAGTTTTCGACTTTCTGTCAATTACGTTTTCTCCATGAAACTACGGTAAACATTGCTAATTGTGCCCAAGTTGTATGAACATTTCTTCAAGTTCAAAGACAAATGCCGACTGACCGATTCTATTTGAATGAATTAATGTTGATGATCATTAAATGACCCATCCGATAAACGGATTACCTATAACAACAGATTATGACACCTGTTGTAACTGTTGATTAGCTTGGGGTCGTAAACAAAGTCATATACTTGTCGCCAGGTAAATTTTTGTAATTGGCTGATCATATCAATACGAACAAAATAATATACCAATCGATCTTCAAAAAAGGCAGGGCGCCCTGCAAACTGTAAAAAGGGCACAGGGCGGCACTCAGGGAAAGGGCGGGCGGACCACCCTGTGAAAACGACCTAGCTGGAACACTGATAGACTTGAGTAATTTCAATATTCTTTGCTTATTATGTTTGTTTTGGTAAGATATTTTCCAGGCATTTTAAAAGATATAATTTGTAGACCAAGCGGATAAGGCTTAATAATAATATATCTATAGTGACACTTAATGTGTGTGTGGTCCCGGTTTCGTGAGAGTGAGTGCAAAGTGGTGGTTCTCCGTAACACACACGGTGGTTCATAACCTGTATATGACACAGCTATTAATAGAGTCATAAAATCAGTCCTGTGGCTGTGCATAACTGCATAACACAGCACTGTAGTAAATAAGAGTCATAACCATTTAAACCAGTACATAACACAGCTAGTAATAAAGTAATGTCAAGTTAATCCATCCTTAAAAAATTATAATTAGATATATCAAAAAAAATCTGATAAGTGTGAAATTAGCAATTTTAAATTGGAAATAAATATTGTTTACTATTTCCGCCATATTGAAATTGTTCCCAAACTTGTTTTCGAAGGACAATGCTGATTGGTTTATAGCAAACTTTTGACCAATGAAAATACATTTTATAGAAATTCGGTTGTCAATCAGCATCTGGGGATCAAATAGGGGAAATTAGAACGTTATCGTATGATTTCCCCTTTCATACCAAAGTTTTTAAATATAAAGAATAGTTTAATAATATAATATATTACTATGTAACTTTTTAGTCTGTTATTGTTATTATATATACAATAATTCTTAGCAATTTATTGTTAATGGGTTTGTGCCAGTAAAATATTTGTATTTGTATGATCTTGTATAATGTATGAATTAAATAAATTTATGTGCGGTATGCGTATGAATTTTCTGATCTATTTTAGTTTCTTGTTTAACAAGAGAATAAACGAGTTATACGAGGGTATTTAATAGATTGAAAACGGGTTTCAAGTTTATCGAAGGCTGGGCGGTGACCACTCGACTTACAGACAATTTATTAATTTTTTTATATTGTTAAATGTGTATAAGACATGTGCAGTGAATATGTATTTCTAGTATACTGATTTGTAATGTTTATTTTATAGATTTGATATGATGAAGTGTTTATGCAGAGGCGTTTAGGACATTATTGTTTTATGAAATGAAAAAAACATTTTTGAAAATTGATTAGATTGTGAATTATGATGCTTAAATAGAAATGGTCACCGTGCCTGTTAGTATCAGAAATAGTCTTGTCTTATGTATATATATATATATATATATATATATACAATATGAGTCAGTTTAGAACAGAAATTAGGGGTAGATTCGTACATGAAATTTAGAGCAAGTTAGCACATAAATATGTTATGTTCGTTTGAACATTGTGAACTAAGAACATAACATATATAAATTACAAATAATGAATTGAACATGTTGAATGAAAACACGATAGTTAAAAACAATCAAATAGCTGAAAAAAGTATTCGTCATCGTCCAAGATTATGTATAGTATTTTGGTACGATATATAAATAATTTTATAATTATATATGTCTCTAGTTTGTTTTTCAGGCCGCGTGACCGCTTGTCTCTGAAAAAAAAACCTATATACTTTGATATAACATAATATTAAAGTATGTAGGTAGTTTCTTTCTTAGACAAGTGCTTGTGTAACAGTACCAATATACTATTAAAACCACCAGGAACCGTACATGTACATCAGGTACGTAATTATGTTGCAGTCCAGATAATCACCGGCAAAGGTTTGCTGAGGATCATCATTTTTTTTTATTTAGATTTTTATAGCGCCATGTTGAGACTGCTATAACACTGCATTATTGTAGTTGCAGAATCATCATCGCAGTTAGGCACCAAAGCAAAAAAATAAAATAGCCATGATCCAAAACGTTAGTGTAAGTTGGACGATCTAGTACATTTGTCAATAGTTTTACATCACACAGAACATTTAGAAATTACTCTGTTCAACATTGTTGATTTCAAGTGTCATAGGCTTTATTCAGATTTGCTGGAGGAGGAAGAAGATATGCCGTATCCAGGGAACGATCATTTTCATCTTGTTTAGGACAAGGTTGTGTTTTTCAGGTCTTACCAAGCCTTTACAATTTTGTGCTAAGATAAAACCGCCGTGAATTTCTCGCATTCAAACTTTTTAAAGTAAAAAAATACAACTGATTTTTGGGGTTTTAAAAAAAAATCTATTCTGCTGCTGACACGGAACATATGTTTTTGGCTTCTGACTTCGAATTGCTACGGATATTTGTATGCTTCGGCTTTGATTTAGTAATCCGAGCGAACATTACGAGGTAATTATAAATAGTCTTCGATTCATTAAACATTCCATTTGTAATAGTCATTGACCATTCGTTGTTTGTGGGCAAGACGAAGTAACATAGTATTTTTCTCCGGACAATAACTATTTGCAACTTAAATAAAAATAAAATGATTCAATAGCATACATGAACTTATTTGAATAGTGACTCTCAATCTTATTGGAATATTGGCTGTCAAACTTATTTGAGTATTGGCTCTAAAACTTATAAGAGTATTGGCTCTCAAACATATTGAAATTGTGGCTCTCAAACTTATTGGAATAGTGGCTCTCAAACTTATTGGAGTATTGGCTCTAATAAAAATATTGGAATAGTGGCTCTCAAACTTATTGGAGTATTGGCTCTAAAAAATTATTGGAATAGTGGCTCTCAAACTTATTGGAATATTGGCACTTAAACTTAATGGAATATTGGTTCGATTTGGTCATATCTAATGAAACAAGAAATCGTATTACCTTTGTTTGAACTGTTCTATCATTTCCATCTTTTTTTTATTTATTTCACAGGATTACCAGTACTAGATATAGAATATTGAAATGCCTTTTTCATAAAATTTGTTCTTGTGCGTTGTATGAAAAGACTTTTATTGTCTGATGAACGCAAATACGATCTTGCTGTTTGACATCTACGTTGTTCTTGGATATACCGTACAGATGATCAGGTGTAATACTATTTACATACTTATACATTAATACTCCTTTATGATATAATATTCTTTTATTCTTTTTTGAAACGTTAACCATCCTAATTGCTGGAATAAAGTTTTTAACGAATTATCATATGCTTTGTTCAGAATGATCCTGGCTACCCTTTTTGTGTTTTGTGTAAAGAAATTCTGTATTTGAATCTCTTGTTTCTGTCCAAATTGTATAGCAATAGTCAAAGAGAGGAAATACATATCAATTATGAAATACACATAAACCGTTCTGTTGAATGCTTCATTCGAGTGGGTGAACATATTCTAGTTGGAATTACAATACACATTTTGTTTGTCTGTTGATTCCAGACAATCGTCTATTACAATGCCAAGTTATTTTTTTTAAATTTTCCAAAATAAATCCACTAACCTTTGAAGTTTCCTATTTGATCCAACTGAAATAGGTTTGGATTAAAGTAAGAAGTAATGAGGTGTTGTGGCACCCACATACAAAACAGGCTTTTTTATTAGTTGTTATTGACTTTGGACTAGCTTTCAGTAACTCTCATATCTGTACTTTGTGTCTTAAGTGTTTTGTTATTTGATTTTACTTTGTATAGATCTGATGAGTTGAGCCCTTTTCAACTGATCTTTATAGTTTGTTATTTTGTTGTGCTGTTACACCATTTCCGCGCCTTTTATAGCTTGCTATATGGTATTGGTTTTGCTCATTGTTGAAGGTATCATGAACAGAAGAACAGTAGCGACAGTGTGTAAATAACCGCAATCCCATACTGGAACGTCAATGACGTTCTTTATTGCGCCTTCTTATCTCGTCTAAGATACGTTGGAGACATTGCAACAGACTGTCAGATAGACGATGAAAAAACGCTTATCATCACGAAAATTCTCCTCTTTTACCAACCTCTACAAAATCTAATCATGATCATTATGAAACTATTAGAAATAAATGTGGATAGTGTCCACATGTGGACACAGATGATGCCCCCGCTTGCATATCATATAGATATAAAGGGACATAACTGAAGAACGATAAAAGTGTCGCTACCCAAATTTGAACTTGATCTGAGTTTTGTGGTAATAAGCATTGTGTGTAAGTCTCATAACATTTGGTTGAGGCTAACTTAAGTAGAGAACAGAAACTAAAAATTCAGCAATTTTTCTATTTGTAAACACGTATAACTCTAGAACGGTTGTGTATAAGTTTTATAACATTTGGTTGAGACAAACTAAAAAATTCAGCAGTTTTTATGTTTATAAAGGGACATAACTCAAGAATGGTAAAAGTGAGGGCACCAAATTTCGTACTTAATCTGTATTATGTAGTAATAAGCATTGTGTATAAGTTTCATAACATTTGGTCGAGGCAAACTAAAGTTAGAAAACGGAAACAAAAAATTTGTACTTGATCTTAGTTTTGTGGTAATGAATATTGTGTATAGGTTTCATAATGTTTGGTTGGGGCAAACTTAAGTTACAGAATGGAAACTAAAAATTTTGCAATCTTTCGATTTATAAAGGGGCATAACTCAATAATGGTTAAAGTGACACTACCCAAATTCAACTTGATCTGTGTTTTATCAGTGGAAGTCAAAATTTAACATTGCATTGTATAAAGCATTGATTGTAGTTGATTCAACTATAATCATGGGCAAAGGAAGATAACTCCAAATTTTAAAAATTACTTGATATTTAGAAGAAAATAAAAATTTTGCAATTTTTACATTTATAAAGGGGCATAACTCTAGAACGGTTAAAGTGACGCCACCAAAATTCAAACTTGATCTGTGTTTTGTAGTAATAAGCATTGTGTATAAGTTTCATAACATTTGGTTGAGGCAAACTTATGTTAGAGAACGAAAACGAAAAATTTTGCAATTTTTCCATTTACAAAGGGGCATAACTCTAGAACGGTTAAAGTGACGCCACCAAAATTCAAACTTGATCTGTGTTTTGTGGTAATAAGCATTGTGTATAAGTTTCATAACATTTGGTTGAGGCAAACTCAAGTTAGAGAACGGAAACCAATTTTGGGACGTACGGACGTACGTACAGACGGATAAGGGTAAAACTTAATGCCCCACCGCTACGGCGGGGGCATAAAAATGAAAATTACAACTTACATGTAGAAGTTTCTATCACCTATTGGTCGATATTGTCTTTTTCGCTCGGAACTTTTATACGTCTGCTCTGTGTTTCCTGCCACAACACGTTGTTGAAATACATTTTTCAAACCAAGAATAATTACCGTTCATAACGATGTTTCTTCAAGTCCGTGACCATACACAATCGTCTTCTTTATAGTTTTAATTTACCATCAAATCAACGATACCGATTTCTTTTCCAAAAATGTAACTAAAGATATTGAGTGAGAATCTTACGATTCGATTCAGGAATGTGTTATGTCGTTTAGTTTAATATTAAACAATGTTAGCATGTTCATCTGCAAACGGCATCTTGCTGTATTTTTTAATAGATTTACAATATAGAGACATTGTTCATCATCTTAAGCTTTTCCATGGAAAGTCCTCCATAGATGTCTTCTAAAAAAA